TATTGATACTGAAAGTGGTGGTAGACGATTACGTTTTGAATTGATTCGTTGTTTATATTGACTGGCCATTTTTTCTACTAAAATTATATATATATTCGAAAGATTGTCTTTCATTTGAGCTTATATATAAGAACCTTTATTACAAGTTCTTATGCAATAATAATTTATATTCAATATAAATAAGTTATTGTTTCAATATTTAATTTGTCTTTATTAATAATAGACTTATATCCCTTATCCTCCTCGAACTAATTTTTCATATATAACAATCAATAAACTTCTTCAAGAAATTCCTTGACTAATAATAATATATTTAAAACTCTTTCTATTTGAAATTATTTTTGAATTATTAATAGATTTATAGTCGATTATGATAAATAGATTATTAATATCTGAACAATATATAATGTATATCTCAAGAACAACATTATATAACATAATAGAATAATATAAAAAAAGAGTTATATTCGATTAATTTATATATAAGTTATGGTATTAAAGTTATAGTAAGTTGAAGATAATTAATGTATTAGGAAATAATTTAGTAATAAAAAATAATTAGATTTTATAATAAAGTTTTATAGCTATATTTATAATAAAATATTTAATAATAATATTTATAACTTTACCATTTATTAAGTAAAGTTCTCTTTAATAGAACAAAGTTTAAGTATATATCTTATAATTAATAATAAAAAACTAATTTATAAACACTTTTCTAAAGCATCTATTATTAATCAGACTAGTTATATTAAAAAAAGATTTATATATTGAGAATATAATGATTTTAATAAATAAAGATTTATTATTTATAATACTAAACTATAAAGACTCTTTACTAATAACAATTTGTCTTATTTATTTAATATCTTTTAACAACCTTTATAAATGATTTAATATAAAGATTGAGCTTTTTTTATATAATTATTAATTAAAGATATTAATGTATTATAGAGTGAAATGTTAAATATACTTTTTAAAGGTATTAAAGACTTAATTTTAATAAATCTCTGAAATATATTCAATTATTACTTAAAATAGAATATAATATAGGTATTATTATTATTACTATAACTATCCCGAGAATCATATTCCTGGAAATCATTTTAATTATAAAATCCACTTCAATATTAATTAGAGTATTAATTACCTCGATTAATAGGAGTATCTTGATATAATCTATAGTTATTAAAACCTCCTCAAAAACCTATGAATCCTAGGTCTTTTTTAATTATTTGTTATATATCCACTTATTTCTTAACATTACAGTTTTATATTAAATGATTAAATTTCTTATAATAATAATAGAGATTAAGTTAATATTTCTTTTTTTATTATTAATTTTATATTCTGAAAGTATTAAGATTTATAAGATTAGATAATATTGATATAGTGAATAATATATTAATCAGGGATATATAGTATTATATAAAGCTTGAGTTTGTTTTTGATTCTAAAAAATATTTATTCTTTTATAAATTCTAATTTCAAACTTTAAACTTCTGTTTTCAATTATTAATATTAATAAAAGAATAAGAATTAGAATCTTATATAAATAGTTATTAAAGATTATAGAAGATTTTTGTTTTTATTGTTATAATTATTTTATATGGTTACTTATAATATACTATATTGAGATATTCTAATTAAATATAAAAAGTCGAAAAAGATATTTTATTAATCATCTTGAGTTTATTAAATTAAATTAAGACTTTATATACTATATTAACTAAAATATAAAGCCCATTAAGCTTATTAAGAAAAAAGTTATTAATAATATAGATTAAGATTTTATTAATAATATCATTTATATCGATCAATTTCTTTTAACATATATAATTATTAATAAAAAAGACTAAATATAAAAGCTTCTTTTTATTTATATTAAAAACAATTGAATTAATTATTGAGTAGATTTATAAGTTTTGCTTTTAAGTAATATATTCCTTTTATTAAGATATTAATTCTATTTTTTTTAAAGGGGTTTAGGGTTCTTTAAAGTTTATTATTAGCTAGCCCTACTTTAAATAGGAGCATATGATAGGTTTTATGTGATTTGAGATTATAATAATTAAATTAATTAAAATTAAATACTTAATTAATTATTTATAATAATCTTAAGGAAACATTTTATAATTAAATCTTGTTTGAATATTTATTAAATAATAAAGAGTAAATCGAATATACAATTAATAATATTATATAGATAGTTAAGATAATTCTATTAATTTTATATTAATGTTAATAAAGGAAGGGAGCTATAAAGTTCATAATCCTGAAAGCTAGATAGCTCTTTTATAATTTATTATTATTAATTAAAAGCATTATTGATTTTAGTTTTAAATGTTTTAGGTAAAATAGATAATGATAAGTTAATATTTAAAGTATTTAGTATATTAATTATAATGAATAAAGAGGACAAAATAAAGATATAAATAAAAATAAAGATAAGAATGAAAATGAAAATGAAAATGAAAAAATATAAAAGATATAAAAAATTATAAAAATTGTAAAAGAATCTATCTTAAACAAATAAAAACAAAAACAAAGAATTTCTTTTTAAAATTGAATTACTTTTACTATAATAAAACTTTTTTGTAAAATAGAATATACTATTATAATATAAGGAATAAATATTAAATAAAATGTATAATATTCTATAAAAAGTAAAGAAGGAGGTGGAGAAATGTCGATTACATAAAGGGTGAATGCTTTAGACATTCATATAACTATGTACTAAACCCGTGACACTTGTTTAGTGAAATCTAATTCAAGTAATATAATAAATCTAAATTATTTTAACTTCTTTAGTATTATAACATAATATAAAAAGTCTTGAATATAGATAATCTTTTTTAATCAAATTATTTAAATCATTTAATTAAAGCTAATTAGAATTAAATAAAAGAAAAGAAAAATAATAATTATATAGAATAAGCTAAAGGCTTTTCATTAATCTAATTTTTATAATACTAGTTTTAATATTAAGATTTATATAAAGAATTAAAGTTATATTCTGTAAGTAGTTATAGAGCTTATATAATTAATCCGATAGAGAATATATTTTATATAGTAGAATCAAAATTATTTTTAGGATTAAAGGTTTTATATTTTAATAGTATAAATGTTGATTTGATGTATAAAAATTTAAGTATGCTCTATTATATTATATAATATAATATAATCTTTAAGTATACTTAATAAAAATTATAAAAATTATAAAAATTATAAAAATTATAAAAATTATAAAAATTATAAAAATTATAAAAATTATAAAAAATATAAAAAATATAAAAAATATAAAAAATATAAAAAATATAAAAAATATAAAAAATATATAAGTTAATATGAAAATAATATAGACCATGAACATGATATAGATTATAAAAATTGTAAAAATTATAAAATATCAAAAAATATCAAAAAAGATTAAATCGACTTCGTCTACAACCTTTTAATAAATTTCTTTTTCAATTTTTATTATAATAATTATTACATTATACTTTCTTGTATTTGTTTTTACGTAAGAGAAAAAACAGACCGGAATTAACTACTAATAAAGCCCTTCGATAATTCAAATGTTTCATTTCAATTTAATCAATTAAATATCTGAATAATTTTTATAATTAAAAATCATTCAAGGATTTATTTCATGTTATTAATTTTTAAGATTTTGTTATTGATTGATTTATTATAGAATTTATAAGAATGATTAATTTTAGCCTCTTTTTTCTCCTACGAATAGATTGTCACCTTCTTGGAAACTTTCTCAGCCCCCTCACCCACCCATGCTCAAATGGTATCTACGAAGTCGAGAAAGCACAGCAAATCGCAATCTAAGCTTATCCTCGGAAGATTAACCTCTTTAAGTTTAACGTTGGTAATCATCCGTGTGTAGTACTCGTATCTACGAAAGAACGGAGTAAAGTAAGGTATTAATCAGGTATCAAAATGGGCCATGCTAGCATGCTATGCCATGTTCATTCGGTTCAGCCTTGCGAGAGATTGGGAACATCCGTTCTTCTCAATTCTATCCAACTCACAGACCTCTCTACTTTGCAACCCCAAGATCTATGCTCTCAATACTGTATACAGTACTCACCTTTTTCAATGGGTTGAGGCCATCTTTCAACGATTCAGAAGAACCCTAAAACGATCTTTGCTGTACTTACCATTTCTTTCTCCTTCCACAGATATCAAGTGAGTCGAGCGGGTCCATGATGAAACCAGGGGACAGTGCGCGAAACACTCTCTCCGTCCCAGATATCATCAAGTTTTCAAATGCTATGTCAGTCCACCGGTTAATTCCTGTAGCTTATTGCTACGGACTTCCTGGTCGTATGGCAATGATCTGCCGCATTCTTCGTCCTTGTTGACAGGGACATCGCTCAGCCTAGAGTCTCATGTCAAACACAGTAATGCTTGAGATACTGGGCCCTAACCTCAATATAGTCTGGACCACAGTGAAGGAGCACAACATTGCGAGTGTAGTGTGGCCTTGAAATGCTTTTTTACCTTGTCGTTGACGCATACACCAACCCTCACTGTGACTTTGCATTATGTCTATTATGTACAATTCTCGGTTGGTCCCCAGATTCAGATTCAATACATGACCATTCCAAGAGTAGCATAGAACGTCCACTTCTCTCAATTGTCTGTCCAGTGCCAAACCAGCATGTCGCGAATCTCTTCTCCACTCTGTTAGCTAGTCTCAATCTTTCAGAGGTCCAAGATTCTCGACTTGGTTACCTCTTGGTTGCTTTCACTTGTCAACCGTTTATTCTCTCACTCACGTTCTATACACGGCCGGATCGTGACGTTCTTTCTTTGATCAACATTTTCAATCAGATCTGGTATCTAATTCTCACACTGACTCTGGTTCTACAACGACGACGACGACGACATCGAATAATACTCATCAGTTCATGTCCGTATCCTATTAGCTTCTGTCGGTCGGCGATACGGGGCAGCGGCGACTCGGCGGAGGAATGAATACGACAATGGCACCAATGAGAGATCAACCAGAAGAGAATATGAACCGACTGGTTCAAAGGAATGTTATGTTAGACGATCTTCAATTAGCAAAAAGGGTTAGAAGAGGCGATGATGATGATGGGAGTGGAGATGGGAGAAAAGGCGAACGGGATGATGACTATAGCGATGAGCGCAGCGACGATTATCAAGATACACAGGTCGATAGTTCACAAATGCCCACACCCGTGGTCACAAGGACTGCGTGGACCCAAATAACAAATACTGCTTGGACCACACAAACTGCCACTGCCTGGACCACGCAAACTGCGATCACTACTTCATCGAGTGTAATGACTGTCGTCGTTGTTGCTACGCCAAGCTCCACATCGACATCGGCATCTTCAACATCGACTTCAGTGAGTTGGAACAGAAACTTTGTGTGAGTGGGTGTACTGACTATAGACAGATATCCATTACGTCTGCCACATCTTCATTGCCAACAGGGGCTGTTGCATTCACCATACCAAGCTCAGAGCAACCAGGAAGGAAAGGCTTATGTACCCTTTCTAACGGAGCTCCATGTGAAAGTCCCACGGCTACCACATCTACTGTCACTGCCTATGAGGCCGTCAGTGCAAGCTCTGCGCCGACTGCGCAAGCAGATGAAGATGGGTCATCTCCTTCCGACATACCACCTCAATTTCGCCACGGAAATGAAGGCGATCTTAGTCCTTTGGCGGAGAAGCTTCTAATAAGTGCTGGATCAATAGGTTTGTAATTCAAGATAGCGTGACAACTAACTGTTACTGACCTTAATCAATAGCTATATTCGTCATCTTTGGCGCTATCATATATCTCGTCATCAGAATGAAGAAGCTAAATCGATTGGCAAGAGGAGAAATATCAGAAGAGGAAGCTCGTTGGTATGGATGGAGAAGAAACAGAGGTGGCCCAGGTCGTCCTCCCAGTTATGCTAGCGGCAAAGTTTCACAAAATGGATATCCTATTGATGAAAAATTTACTGAAAGGGAAATGGGTGGTTTCTATAACTCTGAAAGCAAATCGTCACTCGAACGCCCAGGATCAGCAACTGTAAACTTACGGGGCTTGCGTACAGATCTCCAAAGACAAAATTCAATCAGGAGCAGTCAATCAGGATCTGGTATGTCTGCCAGTCCAGTTGCCGGCCCAGGTCAATCATACGGACCTTCAAGCAATATGGATTACTATTATTCTCAAACAGGAACTATGAGATCTCAGCAGTCAGGACAGTCTTCAAATGCCTACGATCCTTCTCAAAGGGAGGTCAATCATATGAGTTACTTGTCTTCAATATCGTCAGGATTTGGTGACTCACTTGTCATGCCTGATGATAGTGCACCTCCTCAAATTCCAGTCTCCAGATTTTCTTGGACAACAGCGTCTCAAGGTGCTCCACGGAATAGAGACACTATATACACAACAACGTCAGAGGAAACGGCGCCACGATTTCGCACTGTCAATTCATGGGTGGCTCAACAAACAGGGCGGGTAGAAAGGAAACAACAAAGTGACATGGAAATACCAGCAATGCCAGAAATTCCTATTTCATATACCCACCGATCGCAGGTTCCTGAACCTTTGTTTACCGAGGGCCATCAACGCAATTTGAGTGAGAACCCAGCTTTTAGACATCACCCCGGTGACGAAATCGAGTTGGGAAGAGGCTCACGTGTTCCGAGTTCAATTCTGGATAGAAAGATGGGGATTTAATTAAAACAACAACAGAATAACTCAAACAGTGAGTGTACTATACGAAAGACGAAGTTCTATCCATTGTGTGTGTATATATGTCTAATTTCCTATACGGTCGTTCCAGCCTGGTGCTTGATTCGATGAGATTTGCATAGCGTGGAGCGGGGAGCATTTTTGTACGTTTTTGAGCATTTGGTGGCTGGTTGGTTGGGTGTATGATTTATTGATATTTTTTCTGCTTAGGGAAACGGGGATGAGAGATTGACAAATATAACATATTGTAATGTCATGACGAGAATAGAGCAAGAAATAGGACGAGCGGGAAAGGGGGGGAGGGGGTGGAATGAAATGAAATCAAATCGATGAGAAATCAAATTTGAGCGGGAGAAGAAAGGTTTCGCTCAATGCACTATCGATATTTTAGGAAGCTTAGCATTGCTTTTAGGCAACCAACGCATGAATGTACGATCGGAGGTGAGGCAATCGAGTTGAGATGGGATGAGAATGTGAAAAGGTGAATTTAAAGCAGAAGGCTGGTGAAGTGACGATGCCGGGACGATGTGTAGACAGTGTGTAGACAGTGTGAGAGGAGGCAAAGGCGCGGTGGTGAAGATAAGAGATTGTTTTCTGTCTGTCTGTCTGTAACTTTGTAGTATATAAGTGCAGTGATATAGTTTTTAAATACATTAGAAAAAGCTTTTAAATCTTCGAGGTGGATTATTCTCTGTTCTGTGTTGATGCTTGCTTGCTTGCTTGCTGGTCTTGACTCTGTAGAATCTCTTGTGGGGATTTTGGATTCATATAATAGATGTACGTGGAGGATATCTCAATTTTAGGGGCTTTCAAGTTATTTTTGGTATTGATTGATTGTGAGAGGAGCTTCTTGAAGTTGGGATATAATAGCATAAATACTTCACAAACCATTCCATCTACGGAAACTGACTTGATCTACTCAAATCAGCATAATTCCATCGGTTAGGAATCGCACGATATCGTTCGTTTATCCATTCATCTATTTTCTCTTTCGTCAATCTAATCACCTATCTATCCCATCCTATTCCATCCCAATCTCCCACCGATAGTCCACCACATTCAATCCCCCTTTCCCCTTTCCTGATTCCTCATTCCCCATCCTCCTTTGAATCTTTCGATTGCCAATTTCCACCAAGTCAACTCCTCACACCTTCCACACTGCCCCCCCCCTAGATAAAATAAATCTCTGCATCAGATCCTGGTTCTTCGTATTCCTAAATGATTTACTTGATGATTTTTTGGTGTCCTACCTAGGTAGGTATCCATATAGAAAATAAGATAATTGGTGGTGTGTGCGGTGGACCTCGCAAGAAATAAGATCGGATGGAAGTGAAACATTGCGCCACCGCTTGGGTGAAACTGAAATTGGGATTGAAATTTTTGTTCTCGATGAAGTGTGAGGTGCGGAAGTGTTGATGTGTTGATGTGGGATGCGTAGGGTGGGATTTGGGGATGGGTCATTGGGGGCTGGGAAGGATATGAGATGGGAGTGAAGAGGAATGTGGAATTTGGAAGGTGAAGGAAGAGCTTGATTGGATTTTGAGTATGCGTGTGGAGTAGAAGCAGATGAACATAAATCTTTCTTGGAAATAGTTACACTAGTGTCTTACAGGATGAGAAAATGTGCTTGTAAGACCTCGGAATAGGAAACTCATTATGTCGTTGAGAGTGGAGCATAGTATCCTAATCAAAATAAAATACGAAGCGAGACTCGCGTAGACGGGTCGAACTACTCCCAGTATCCTGTTTTCACTGACTCGCCAATGTTTCTGCGGACTGACCTTTGGTATTTTATTTTATTTTTAACTTACGTATGAGGAAAGTTATTTCGTATAACTAAAGGAGGAATTGGAGGAATTTCCATGCACGTTATGGTGTGATTTGGTTCAGTTCGGGTAACAGCTGTCAATATTATGTATTTATACTCCGAGTCCCCAAACGAAGAGAAGATAAATGTATCATCGCTGTCATGGAACAGTGGGAGAACATACTGCTTCTCCAGAAGATTCAGCTGAATCTCCAATACGGGATTTTTTAACTTGAGTTTCACACATGATATGAAAGTATATAACAAGATTTAGAGCTACAGCCTGAAATTGTTTCTAGCTCTAAGGTACGTAGTCTTTCCTCTAAACCGCTGCTACGATCCTCATTGAAACATCAAGAACAGTATCTTGCCGGTCAAGAAATGGTGAGTGTCCCGTTGTGCACTTCTCAGTCTTAAAACCAACGCCAGTCACCTTCAGTATGATTTCCTGTACCTCAATTGCTAAAGCCCGATCACCAGTATAGTATAGTACGTATACATCCCTGAATAGTCCTGATAAACAGTATAGGTCAGAAGAGCCATCGAGGTGATAGCAGAATCCAGATGCAAGACCTAGCCTGGAGGCCCAGAGCAGATTTTGCTTCACGGAAAGATCGTTTTATAAGTATCAATCATGCTATCTCAAATTGTATGAAGTGTTTTGCCTGGACATTCCAACAGCGACATGCTTCGCGCTCTAACTTAATACACGTATCTTAGAAAAGAAAAATTAAAAAGGGAGTTGTTAGAAACTTGGCACAAGGCTTTGCAACAGATATCCGCGTAGCGGATAATTGCTCTGACAGATATTCTGTAGGTAATTTGCAAATCCTCTGCAAATTATCCACAGATACAGATAACTTTTACGCAGCCTAAACTTACCTAGCACGAAGAAGTTACATTCCCTTTGATCAAGGAAGAATTCGCACAATCAAGAGTAACAGGAAGCGTGACTCCAATCGAGATGGCGAAGACACACATCTACAGGAGTTGAAGTACACCACCATCAAGCCATGTCTTTGGGCGGGTGGTCTTTCTGTGAGATTCAAGGGCTGCTTCTGAATTCACAATGTACTCATAAGAGTGCATGAATAATGATTATTACTACATCTCCCCTCTCGTCTTCTACCAATCTTTGATGAATCTTGAGTAGCTCTAACATCATCGACCAATGCAATGATAATAAGTGCTGGGTTGGGATTGAAAGTCGGCTAGAGTGGACATGCGGTTGGAAAGCCTTCAGTCCTGAATTTCTTTCTCACAGGCTTGAAGTAACTGGAACTATTCCAGCTGCCATGAATGAAGAGTATAATGGATTTGCTATTGCTTAGCATGACGAGAGAAGCGCACTCATGGTAAGAATTGAGATGATTGGTTCTCGGAGTATGAAATGAATGGAAATCATGAAGAGAATCATAGATGTTATGGCCGAAGGATGTTGCGAATGAATAGAGTAATACAACATCTGCTTAATACAGGATTATCCGACACCAACAGCAAATTATAGAAAACTATTACAGTACCAAAAACACATCTTCATTCTAAACTCTCCAATAATTCAATCAGCCATAAAGACCCAGCAAAACTTACAAAAAAAAGACAAAACACAAAACACAAAAACAATCCAAACCAGAATACATGAAAACTTCTTAAAATATTTAGGTAGGTAGCAACACATCGCGTGCCTAATCCTTTTGAGACTATTTATTCAGCCTCTACTTCCCCCAAATCCATGGACATTTCAATCTCAAAACTAGCAGAAGTATTTTTGTACGTGCACTTAAACTTGCACAGGATGAGAATCAGAAAGAGGAAAGTTGACAAAATGGACAAGAACCATTATGGAGTGCTGTGAGCTGAGAGGAATGATACATGGTAAATTTGATAGGCCTTGGATCCCAAGTTCTAGACATGGCGAACACTTATTCCTCGGGTAACGATCAACAAGATAAAGTAAGATGAATTCGACCTCCTCAATAACAGAACAAGAAAATGTGACAAGCAAAAGTCAGATGCATTCAAAGAGAGAAAACCCGAGTGAAAATAATCTGATAGCTAAGTATAAACCCTTCTCACAAACGCTAATGCTCAAATTTGAGAAACCCCTCTCACCTCGCAAGGAAACGATTATCCAATATCCTCTAATCCTACATAATGAATTTATCCACTCCATATTCAATAACATATTCGAAAGGAATTACTATTAACTTTCACATCCCACCTATCCCCTCCAGAAGACGCCCTTCGCCAACTCCTCTCCTTCAACTCCGTAGCCAAAAGTTCTTACTTAGAATTCTTTCCTTGCAAATGCCACGCGAAAACCTTTTCAAAAATCCCTTTACCATTCCCAACAATCGTATCTCCATGACAAGGTATGATGTTCTCAAATCCCCACGTGTTAATTCTTTTCACACTCTGATTGAAACCCTCTCTATCACTCTTACTGAACAAATACCACAACATTCTCTTTTGCCATATCGCTGATCCACTTGTCGTCTGAAGATGTCCAAATAATTTTGTCGCAAATCCCGAATTGGCATCCTCTCCCGTCTTAGAATACTGTTCCGTAGCCGGCATGTTGAACATCATATCCGCTTCAATCAAAGTCCTATCCGGTTTATAATAAAACACCAATTCCTTATTCGGATGGGCATCCACAAATTCATATTCGAAATCTGTGTCGAATTCCGGCGAGATCCGAACTTCGGCCTTGTTTTTCTTGGTAAAAATCGTTTGGAAATGGATATTGGTGACCTTTTTATCCGACTTGGCTTGTTCGGCACGTTTCTCCGCAAGACCTTCGGGAGCAATAAAGTGAGCGTTTGGATAGGCTTTGTGCCAGTCGGAAAGAAAGATGTGGTGCTCGAGATCGGGGGCTGCAACGTAGGCGACGCGGTTTCCGAGGGATTGGAGTTTAGTTGTTACCGAGGGAGTAAGGGCAACGGGAGAGAAGACGGCGAGTTGACCAGATGTGAGACGGACTGTTGGGATCATCTATTAGCATTTGTATAAGATCAGTCTGCGGAGAAGAGAAATATACCAATAGTAGCTCTACCACCGAATTTGATCATGCCAAATCGTAGGAAAGGTACGGAGAGTGTCGTAACATTCGGCGTCACATCACGGATAACCATGACTCTCTCAGGATCTGAGGGGACTAGTTTGTCGGACATGGTGAAGATTTGTTTGTACGGATTGGTGGATGTTGTGATGCTAGAAAATAGGTTGTACGAAATGATGTTGTACTCTTCGATATCGATTGATTAATATGGTGGAGTGACTTTCCAAAATCCTATGACGATAATGGCATGCAAAAAATATCCCGTGATCAATGCCTAGTCGTTCTAGATGTTTATTTGATGGCTGCTTGCAATGCAATGAAGACGAAAACGTTTGTATGATGCACGTAGGTGACCTTACTGAGAACGGATTTGATATGAAAAGTAAATATGAGAGAAAGTAAAGAGAAATAAACACTTGAACCTTTTATAAACGATTAATTGCAATCACTTGAATCATTTCTATCTTGAATTCTCTGTCAGCAAATGGATGATTTGGAATTCGATTTTGAAGTCTGGGCTGAAGATAGAAATGTATGTTTAATAAGCATAAGCATACAGTATGCCGAGGCAAGACGATGAAATGGGTCTGGACATTAGGATTTGAAAAGGGAATTGTAATCAATTTGGATAATCTGAAGATCTGCACATTCTCTCTACGTAAATAGTAGAAGTCAATAGTTTTCTTCAACTGAATTCGCGAATATGATGATAAGTGGCTGTTTTGATAATGATTTTTCAAAAGTGTAACTATTTACTATTTTGGAGTTCATCATTCTTTTGCTTGCCGAGATAGCTTGGGGATGACATATGTACAGCATGACGGCATGATGAGACACAGGACAGGTAATCAAGCAGTACATACGAGCAGTTTCAAATAAATCCTTTTGTTCGAAAATATCAAATACTTCCTGGCTCTCACCATATCCATCCTTCCTTTCTGTCATCGAACAATACGAAAAGTACCTGGGTATACAGAGTATTGATATTCATCTCTATCTCATATCCGGATATTCCGAAAGATGCATTTTCATTCACTATCTCACAAGCTCCATCACATACATATAAACAGTGTCTGGAATGAAAATTTATCTTACTCAATACAAATGTGCTAATCCAATGCTAATCTTGAGTCACCTTAAAAACCGACGAGCAGACATAAAACCGTACACTAATTAGAAGTTCAGCGGCCTTTTATGCTATCTTAGGGCTTCATATTCAATCCCCCAGTTCACTCTACTTATCCGAGTAGGTGTGTGTGTGTGTGTGTCCAAATAAAACAAGCAGAAAAAATACATCATTGTGCAGAACCAGAACTATAAAGAGAAATTATGAACATGTTGTTCTTTTCGTAAAGTAGTAAGTTGAGGACATTCCATCCATCCATTCATTCACCCATATAAAACACCACGAAGGAGGAATCGCACCAATTCCATAGAACTGTGCATCGCGTGTGCCATGAAAGGAACTCGGTGAGAAGAATTATGTTGAGAGAAGCGAGGAAAGAGACGCATTGAAAAGAAGAGTCCTGCTCATCAAACAAAGAAGTCATGCATGATAACCATGCCTCAACTCTTCAAGATATATTCCCCAGGTAGTATGAACCCACATACCACATGCGTACATATCAACCAGGGAACTGATATGCAACAGGATAACCCATACGCTCCAGAAGATCAAACCTCCATATCGCTAACAGACGAATGAGACGTTGAGGTAAGATTTGATTCATACCAAGGAAACCATTACTGCCGTGCTGCGCAATTAATTGGCAAAGCCATCTACGAGTCGAATCGTTTTCTGCAAGCCAAAGTTTGCGTTCAGAAGCAACCGAGACAAACAACCAAAGTATACTATAGATAATCATATGAAATGCCAAACCCCAAAAAGTATCCCAGGTATTTGGCAATCTTCCAAGCTTTGGATTGAATAATACAGCGAGAAGTTTAGGTCCAGTTTTGGGTGGTCTGTCATCATCAGGAGGTGCTTCAGCTGCAGCAGACTCGTCGGCTGCGTCGGACTCGTCGGATGATTCGTCGGAATCGGAATCGACATCAGGAGGTTTTGGATTCCAGGGGCCGAGTCCAATAGTCATTGTAGGGATCCAACTAAGAGCGCTCAACAAATGCTTAGACCAGTGGAAGAAAAGGATGAGGAAATTGAATTCAACCAAGAGCCAGCAAATGACGGGATTGTGAGCGAACACCCGGAATGGCGTATAGCGAATTGGTCCTGGGATTTCTTCTCCTGGTACAGGAATAAATTGGACAGGTCCTACCACAGGTACCTCGCGATCAACGTATCGAATCACTTCTACTTCTTTAATCTGGATTTGAATCTCAGGAGCAGGAGCAGGGGCAAGTCCGCGACGCCTGGTTTTTTTGTTGATGAGTTGGAGATCGGGAACCCCTTCTCCTTCCCCTTCCCCTTCCCCTTCCCCTTCCCCTTCTCCCTCTGCCACTTCCTCGGCTTCAGCTTCAGAAGAGCTGCTGCTGCTACTCTCGCTGGAATTTTTGCTACCTGCCGGTGAATTTTCACCACTATCCCCGTCCTTGGGTTGGTAAGTTCCTGGGGTTGGGTTGAAACCTGGTTCTTGGGCCTTTCGAGTGTCTATAATCTGTTGGATTACATTGCGGCACATCTCGATATAGTCTTTCATCAGCTTTTGCATTTCTGGTGATACTCCAACTCCTCCTTTGGCCACAAGATTGTTCTTGGCCTTTTCCATATTTTCAAGAAGCACCTGAGTATCCTCCTCTTTTTTCTCCAAAGCCTCTTGTAACTTTTTGTGTTCTTTTTGTACCTCCCTAGCATCGTGTATGAAATCTTCAAGTCTTTGCTTTTCGACGTCCAGACGTTTTACGAGCTTTTCATTTTCGGCTATACTTCCCGCGAGATCATCCTTGCAGCTAGTTAAGTTGAAAACCAATGCCTCATTTTCCAATTGCATTTCTTCCATTTTGGACTGCATTTCATCGATGATCTTTTGATCATCTGCTACACGGGTCTTCAAATTGCGCCTTTCTCCCTCGATAGTGGCACATCGCGCTTCTCTAGCAGTGCACCTCCCCTCCCTAGCATTCATTTGAGTTTCGACAAAATTGATGTAATCGTCCTTCTCTACAATCTTTAACTCCAAAGCTGTAACCTCCGCTTCAAGAGCCTCCACAGTAGCAGCGTTATCTATATTTGCTTCGGCCATTTTGTCCTGTAGGTCAAAGTGTTTCTCTCTTAGATCCTCGTACTCGATGGTTTGCTTCTTCTTCTCTGCGGTATATCTTGCTTCGAGATTCCGCTTCTCTTGACTGTATCTTTCTTCGAGAACCGCGAAATTTTCGTTCTTCCTCTTCTCTTCGATATAACCTGCTTCCAATTTTGCAACGATAGGTTCAAAAGCTGCAAGATCGATGTGTGCCGCTTGAAGTCTTTGGTCATAGGATTCGAGCTGGGCGACTCTCGTCGACATCTGCTCTTCCTTTTGTTGCGCCAACATGTGCGCTTCTTTGAGCTCCCATTCAAGCTGCGTTTGCTTTGTTCGATGTGCGACGCAATCGGTCCTGGAACAAGGCTTCAAAGGTCTGTACATTCCAAGGTTAGCATTGTTACGCTCATCACGTGAATTTCTAATAAATAGCACTTACGTTCCATCATTCTGCTTTTGAGATGACGCATCGTCGAGGTTGAAGGTAAAAGTCGCGCCCTCAATGGCCGCCGACTGAACATTTCCGAATTCCATAGACATTGTTTCGTTTCGTTGGTTGTTATTTATTTGTACGATAATTTGAATTCTGGAGACAGAAAAGGGAGGCGTATGATTTACGAAAAGAGAACTCGGGAACTCTATGTGTGAATTTATACCCATTCGATAACCAATCTATTATAGTTTTCTATCGTACGGTTGTAGTTTGTTGATTGGCTGTATTGACTTTCTTCTTCTTACGGTACGAGCGTTTGTGTTGTCGTCAGATTCACTTTTGCCTCGCGAACGCAATAAATTCTGCTAGGTATCGTGGCAAGCGAGAAGAGTGAATAGAAAAGCAATTAGTAATAGACATCGAATTTGTTAATGGCAATCAACAGGTCGAAACTCAGCAAGTGTGCATGCTGGGCTTAAGCTTTCTACTTCCGTTCAATGTGATATCACCTCTGATGTTCGAGGCACTATTCGAACTTTAAAAGCACCAGTCTTGCCTTGCGGAATTTGTCTCTCCAGTGACTGAAGTGTAAAAGGTGATGAAGTGATGTAATCACGATGCTTTGGGAATGAAACTGGCCCATGATGGCAGGAGGCATCGACTCTTAGCTTTGAGATCCGAACTGTACAATATGAGAGTAGAGCATTCATTCCATTCTCATTAGCTATATAGATAGATAGTTATACATACGTTTAACCCCGAACTAATTATGTGATAACTAAGACACTTGTTTTTTGACAGCTGTTGACTACATATAATTGGATTTGTATCATTCATTTGCATCATGCGAAGAGTTTATACCAGACCTTCAAGACCAAGATCAATCTATGTAGTATACCATATCATATTCGTTTGGAAATAACAGCCATAGACAGAAAAAGATTGACAGGAACCATAGATGTAATAGAGATTTAGACCCAAAAAGGAATATATCTTACATAGCCCGACATGTTGAATGTTATTGTGTTGAATATCAAAGATGGTCAGTAAGAAATACGCTATTGCTTAAATACGTTTTCAATTCTTCCTCAAATTCTATAGTTTGATATATTGGCGAAATAACTTTTCGATTTGAAGAGAGAGAAAGAGAGGGGGGCTTACAGTTGCGCTAGTGAAGGGGTTTGCCTTTCCAAGAGCACCAAGAGCACCAAGGCAGGACTGCACGATTGTTCGTTCCTTCCTTCCTTTCTTTCTTTCTTTCAATCAAAATCTATACATTTAAACTCAGAGTAAGAAAGTACATGATGATCGTACCGCATAAACAAAGTGAATCAATAATCCCTAATACACTGCACACCTGTACTCACAATGCCATGACACACTCACTTCAAGCATTTTCAACTTTCTCTTGCAGCAAGTGTACCTTCCAAGTGTCAAGTGATGAGATCAGTATTTACCATGTTCCGTTTCTCAGTGATTTCCCATTAGACCAACCTGAAGCTTCACATACGAATCTCATTATCTAGCAAACATCCATCAAAAACTACCTAGAAGCCTTGGCTCGCCATCTTTCCCTCTCAATCATATAGCAAAGCTCGGCAGAAGCGCCACGTCTTCGGACATTTGATCAAACAGTACTGCTGACTCCACGTTGAATTTCTAATCAATCTCTTGACCCGTATCTTGAAGGCTGTAATTTGTACCCGCGGCCACAACTTGGCTGTACCTATGCCAAAACACTACCTAGGTAGATACAAAAACAATATTAATAGCGCCATTGTTTTTGCTCTAGCACTCATAATGTACCGCGATCAGCTCTTAGTATGGCCGGAGGGGAATTCACTTCTCCTCCTCCCCTGATTGCTTCTCCCATTACAGCACATCATACCAGGAATCAAATTTCACACCAAAAGTTCACAAAAAGCACTAAAAAGACAGCAGCGATACTGGAAAGTATTTGAATCATGATAAAGAGAAGCCACCGAGTATGATATCAAGAAGTAAATTTGCAGAACCCCTGCTCGCTGAAATCCAAATCAAATATCCGCTCCATCAAGTCTTTCATTCCCATGATTTCATATCCGAATCCCCCAGATCAATCCCATCATATCATTCATAGCTTCTTAGGCAGACGCAATAGTAGCAAAACCAAATGAAGGTCCACTCTTGTCAAAAACACCATAGTAAGCATTGAAGAAAACATCTCCATAAATGCTCTGACTACCGCGACCCACACTTTGAAGCGAGCCGTAACAAGTGTTTCCATCCATAACGGCAAAATTCATCAAAGAACCCGGGATTGTCGCATAGTCAGTTGGGCCGATTTTGAATGACAAGGTAGGGAGAGTGGCATCGCAAGGGAATACGTATCCTCCATAAGAGCTGGAATACTGGGCACCAGAAACTTGGGCATAGTATGCAGTATTGACGGCATCGCTCATGAGGATAAGTGTGGTTCCTGTATCGGCAACACCAGTGAACCCTGATAAGCTGTGAGCGGTAGAGCCGACTTTGTAGGACGCAGAAGGAAATTCCCAGAAACCGTTTCCGGAGTCGACAGGAGTGTACATGATACTTCCGATGTATTTGGAAGAATCGGTGTATCCGAAGTCGTATGCTCCGTCCGCATTCAATGGGAGGTAGGCGGCGAAGAGTGGGGAAGTGAGAGAGCTCTCAGCATTGTCAAAAAAGGTAGATTGGGCTCTTGGTTTAACTAATTGTATGTGAAGTTAGACGACACGGCCTTCCTATCGAATGACTATCTAGGTCAAGAAGACTTACCGGTGTTAACGCTGCTGAAAGCCATACCAACGAGTCCATCGGATGCATCAGTGACAAATGCAGAAGAGACTTTGTTGGCAAGTTCAACTGCTTGGCCAGTGACTGTAGTCTCACCAATCTTAACGGTATCTGTGCCTACAGTGCCACTGGCTCCAGATCCATCGACATACTGGATACTCCAGGTGTAACCTGAGAGAGCCTTGAATGTGGAACTCTTGCTTGAGGTGTAGCTGAAGCATTTTGTTAATTCTTGACTTATGCTGTCTCATTTGGTATGGATGATTCCTTACATGTCATGACCTCTGCGAGAGGAGGCAGTTAGAAGAGAGGAGAAAACCCATCTGATAGAGTAGTCAGTAAACTTGATGAAATAAGATGAGATACATAGCTCGCCACCTGAAGTAAATGTGAACCTCTAGGACCACGATTTGCAAGGCGGTGGAGGTATTCTAAGGAATTGTGGCACTTACAAATCTGCCGAACCAGTGTCCAAATCAAGGTTGAGAGTTTGACCTCCAACGGTGGTAGGAACGAGATACTCAACACCATCGAATGGGATAGCTGGAGCAGAAGAATCTTGTCTCTTCTGGAGTGCCGACATGAACGCATCAGACATTGGTTGGGTAGGCTGAATGTGGTACTTGGCATAGGCCTTGAGCAAAGATGCAGTACCATTGCGAACATAGTTCGGATTGTGAATTGCCGTTACACTGTGGGAAGCTGAACCAGAAGAGACAGCTGCTGGAGCCGGAGTTGGAGCTGCTTGAGCAATTGCTCCAAGAGCGAGGAAGGCTGTGATGTGGGAAAGCATCTTTCACAAGTTCCCAGGACAATGTACAATTGAAGATAGAATGGCAGATCCTGAGATTGAGGACTTGATGAGGACTTAATAACCTGGTAGCAAGAGGATTCACTGTCTTCTTATCCATACTTAGGGAACACCGAGGTGCCCTAAGATTTCCTCTAGATTTAATTGTCCTATGCAACCCCACACTACTCGATCTGTCTCACGAGTGGTCATTGTTGTGCCATATCAAAAAGACATTGCAAAAGTACCTAGGCAGTGATCTCGTGGCCGGTAGTCAAGTGAATCCGAATGGCTTCAGATATGGTAGATTGAAATCTTTCTGGTCCAATCGTGGGACAAACCTGCGACCATTGCATAGGGTACAAAGCTAGTATCATCGCATCTCTCCGAGGACGGTGAAATTCCTTCTCATAGGCATAGCTTGCCTGCAGTAGCAAGTTCTAAAGCACAGAAGACGGGTAGCGAACCAGTGACAATAGGAGGTTTATCGGGAGTGGAGAGTCACTTCACCGCAAAGAAAGATCGGCACTTGTCCCCTAGCGATAAGATTGTATTGTGCCCTAACTACAAAAACAGACTAATTTAGTTTGTTAAATAATGAAGAAACAACCTCGAATGCCGGGCGTCGTGTGCAGCAGTGGCTGGGAACTCGAATAGCCAAAGAAGTAAAACGACCCAGAAGATGCACTTGTGAAAATAAGCTTCAATTTGAGCCCTCGTGAGCTTCACCTGTACCTGATCTACATTAGCACGTGAAGCAGGGATTGTATGAGCACGACCACGTCGACGGGGTTTCCACTCCAACAGTTGATCATATACACTATGGCAAAGTTGCCCCTAACCTTAAAATCAATCTAATCTTGTGAAGGAAGTTGAGTACGAGATAGAAACAGTTAGCGATATCTAGCAATTGAGGGTTTGACCAAACACAAGATGTCGTGACACCTGACCATAATACTCCCGCAACTAAGTAAGTCCCGGAGGTACTTGTCGTCTACGACAGAATGGATCACCAAGGAAGAGGGGATACAAAATGTGTATATAATGATAAGGTTTTGCAGAATGGTTAGTTTGCACTTCGGCGAATCTAGAGACACTAGCATGACGGGAACTTGTGTTGCGGGAGGAGCTGGAAGCTTCAATATTTGATAGTGTGGCGGCTGTGTGGCTGATACCCGCTGCTAAGATACACGCGTGAAGAGTGATTACAAACTACATGATAGACCATGTCGTGGAACAACAATAATCAGTCATACTGACAGAGTAAAACTAAAAAGGGACAGGAAGCGAGGAAGTTAATATGTCGTGAGTTTCATCCAATGGGAGAATTCATTTGCAACATCACAAGGTAACTCCAGAATCTACTCATGACTTGACGGGTTGGCGGGCATCCGAAGATAGGGATTGGCCAACAGGATTATTCTTCGATGAATATCCCAGTCGATTGTAATGGTTTATTTTAGACTGTGATAACTTTCGTTCAACTGAATTGTTCTGATGATAGACGGTTATTACTCCTGGACTGTACATGATTATAGTTTGATGGAACATTCAAGTTGAGCTGAACAGTCGAAAAGAGTCTCAACCTTCTATTCAGAATGATCATGATTGTCCCCGAGTTAGAATTTTAGGTCAACCTGGTTCATCTACATTGCAAAATCAAAGAAACGTTTTGAGCCTTAGAGTTGGATATTATTCACAGTGGTAGGTGTGTGGACCAATGCCCAGTTCATCGTCACCTTCACGAAAATACCTTGAAAGTTTGCTCAGGGATATATAGAGTTGTCATTACATGCATTTTGTATCTCCTACCGCCCCTTTCCAAAACAACCGGAGAGGCAAGGCTGGAAGCCCTTTCTACACCTTCATAGTATCCCCCTTGAACGCAGAATGGCTGCAGCATTCGAGCCTTGCTCAGTGCCGCGGCTAGGCGCCCAACTGGATTAAGAATCGCTAGGTAAGGTGTGCAAACATCAACAAAATGATAACCAATCCCGGAAGGAGATAACCTGTCAACGTCTCATGTGAAAACAAGAGCAATACACGAGAGAACACAAGGAAACACCGACGGGCCCTATCAGTTGGAAAAGTGTACAAAGAAGAAATGATAAGATATGAATAGTATACAATGTTGGATAAAGATGGTGTACAACCACACACAACTTGATGGAAACCCACCTGACAAGGAATGGAATCCCCCCAAGTCTGTGGAATATGTATGCTGCGCGGGAGATATTTTTGCGCGTAAATACTGAACGGAGATTGGGCAAGTGTGACAAGTGACATTTATGAAGCGCGAGTTCGCCGTCCGACTGTTGATAGATTATAATCGCGCTTGTTTTGGAAGATGTTGTACACAGTGATCGATTGTCAAACATTTGCGGCATGTTTGTTACAAACTATAAACGACCCAAACTCCTATTAATGCCATCACTTCATATCTAATCAAATAATGTTGTTGTATGACCGAAAAAGGAGTATTTGCTTCCGTTGGATGAATCTCTAACCCCTGCTCTTGGTATTGAGAATGAGTGCGACAATCAAGCTAAGATAACGAATTAGTATGAGGCCAATGTGACGATTTGAAGATAATTTTGTAAAATGAGCATACCCGTATAGTCCTAGGACCTCGCCGAAAATCAATATCAAGACCATTCCAACAAAGATTCGTGACTGTTGCATGTATGATCGAACGCCCATATCACCAACTACACCAATTGCATAACCAGCGGCCAGGCCCGTTAATCCAACTGACAGACCACATGCCAAATGCATGAATCCACTATGAATATGTCAGTATTAACCTGTACAAAACCCAACAAGCGGTGCGTACTTGAATAAACTATAACTCTGGCCCGGAGGTGGTCCCATATCTCCAGCTATCAGAACGGCGATGACGAGAGAGTAGACTGCAATGATACCAGACATGACGACAGGTATAAGCGACTAAGTAGAGCACCGAATCAGTACGTGGAGCATGTATGAATCCTTGGATGATTGCGTACTTTCATGATCAAGTCCGGTCTAAAAGTACCAACACCTGCAATTCCGATGCCAGACTTTGCCGTGCCATATGCGGCACCGATACCTTGAGGCTATTAGTGAGCTGTGTAATAAGTTTGAGCTTGAGAAGGGATGGCATACATCCGAAAGTCATCGCAAAGGCGATACCAGCCTGTAGAAGAGGCTATTAGTATAATGACATTAATAAGACCACGATTGTTTGAGTTCATACCATTCCAAAGAAGGGGGCGAACTTTGGGGCAAGATCTGATTCTGCCATGATTGGTTTACTCTGTAAGTGTATTGATGTACTAAAGCTGGATGAAAATTGACAGTTGACGGTTGAGAGGTTGCGAAATGAGAGTTGTTGTTTGATGAAAGCTATCAAAATCCAGGCTTCAGTTGGGTGGAGCTAATAAGTTAGACAAGCGCCTCTTTTTCACTCTCTACAGAGTACCGTACGGTACGGTAATTACAGTACTGCACTGCACCCAGTCCAAGTGAGCCAGTGCACTGACAGATGATAATCTACAGAGTCAGAATAGAATACACTCCAAGATTGTCCAAGGGCGGCTTAGTCACCTAAATGACACCCGAAATTCGAAAAACATCCAATTGTTCAAGTCGATAATTACCTCGTAGATGGACCATAGGAACTGATATCATGAACACAAATACAATAGTAATAAATACAATCACTCTTCCCAATTCAGTCATCAGAGATCAGGTTGCACAGACAGATAAAGTGCTGATCCTCCAGGAATTCTCACTACTACTCTACCTCTGATTCCAAGTGTGTTCTTTACTGCCCATTCTCTAAGGTTAGCTTGTTGAAGCGTTGATTGAGACTTCCAAGCTTCGAAGGGGAAGAAGGATTCCTCTCTCGCCGCATCCGAAAGCCACACTAACAAAAGGATACGGGTACCATTCAATGCTCCGGCGCGCCGCCAAAAAAGAACTTGAACTAGCCAAAATTTCCATATACACGACAACAACAATACATTACGATACAATACAACTCAGTTCAGTCAGTCAGCCCTCCAGAACGAGGAATCCTTTTCCTGGTTACCCTTCTAGAGTAGCCGTGGAAGACTTACAAGATTCTGCTGAGCCTCTCAAGGGAAAGAAGAAGAGGCATACATCTTAACTTTGGAGTCATTCTTCCGATGCTGTTTATCCCATTTGTTTATCTCCTCCTGCGAACAAGATAGATAAATAACACGCAATACGACTCCAGAAAGGCTTGCTGATCATTCATTCGCTTGAGCTGATCAACTACATACAACCCCAACTCATCCTCCGACTCCGAAACAACAAAGTTAATCATTATCTTACCCGTATCTCAACCTCAACCACCACCTCAAATCAATTCGACATTGGAACTTTAAACTCCGTACTAGTGGATGCTATAATAGGGTCCGTAGTATCATCGGTCTTGAGGTTGTCCCGGGGTTAATTCCCTCGGCTTCGAGTCTTGGCTCCTCATTCTAGGCCAACAGAAGAATCAACGAATAGAGTTACATTGCATTCACACAACAAAAATACTCTCTGGATATAAAATGGCGGATTATCAGCAAGGGCGGGGGAATAATGGTCGCCCGAATGAATACGGTCATGCTTCGAACTATCAACGGGAAACCGCTTTCTCAAATATCTTCGGTGCTGCCCCTCCTCCCGGCCGATCGCAAACCATGACTTCATCCGTGTCTCCTCCAATTATGCCTCAGGGTCGCACACAAACGATGTCTTCGCAGGTGTCAGGAATGCAAGGCGGGATGCCTCCCAGACAAGCTCAGGGCCAGGGCGGATATCGGCCTCAACAGGGGAACAATTTGCCAAATGGAGGTGGCATGGCCAATGGCTATTATCAAGGATCCCGACAACCACCTCCTGGACAAGTACCTTCTCAACCACAACCTCATTCCTTACCGCAGCAGGTTCGTAGCGATCGAAGACCGTACCCTACTCCTCAGCGCATTGCACCTCAACAACCATTTCCTCCTAGACCTCAACAACAGCGATATTACACAGGCAATGCTCCAGCACTCGCCTCCGATCCCTATCGGTCTCAATCAATGGCAAGTATACCTAGGCCACAAATGTACCAACCGCCGCCTAGCAACTTCAATCAAGCTCCCGCCAATGCTTTTCGGCAAGCTCAATACCAACACCAACCCGCAAAAACAACCGCTCTCGGACGCAATATTCCAGAGAGACCTGATGAGCGCACAATGTCGTTGACTAGTTATCCACAAGATCGTGACCAGCATCAAACTATGAGTGGACGAGTGATTCCAAATAGACGGACTTCGGGAAATGGGCCACAGGAGCTACCAGCCTTTTCTATACCCCCTCCTGTTCCCGCAACCGCAACACGGACTGCTAGTATGGCCTCTACTGTTGCGCCAGATATGAGTCGATCAATGTCCATGGCTTCAACCATTGTTCCACCGGAGCATTCGGACATCTTAACGCATCGGCCTTCGGCCAAATCAATTAGCAGCACGGCCGGAGGATCATCCAGGCACAAAGCTCCTCTGGTATATCCCGCATTATTGTCGCGGGTTGGCGACTGCTTTCGAGAAAAAATCAATGTCGGTGATAGAACGAAGAATGATCTCACTTACAAAAATGCTTTCAGTGGAGCGGAGGCGGTGGACATTATCTCGTATATTATCAAGACTACCGATCGAAATCTTGCCTTGTTACTTGGTCGAGCTCTTGATGCCCAGAAGTTTTTTCACGATGTAACTTACGATCATCGATTACGTGACTCTGCTACAGAGATGTACCAATTTCGAGAAACGATGATGGACGAACCTCATGAAGCACCAGAAGTCAATGGCGTGTTCGTTTTACTCACAGAATGTTACTCTCCAACGTGTACTAGAGATCAGTTGTGCTATTCGATAGCTTGCCCTCGTCGACTTGAACAGCAGTCTCGATTGAACCTGAAGCCACAGCCTGGTCTTCGTCGCGAAAAGTCCGAAGCAAGTCTGCATGATGTCGACGAACCTGACGAGCAAAAGCTCTGGATCAACACAGTCTCTCAAGAAATTGCGGATAGCGTTGGTGAACGGGAGAAGAAACGTCAAGAGGTCATTTCAGAGATTATGTACACCGAAAGAGATTTTGTAAAGGATCTCGAATATTTACGAGACTTTTGGATTCTTCCATTACGCTCAGTCAATCAACTCTCTCCATCACCTATTCCAGAGGCTCGAAAAGAGAGAATAGTCAGAACCATATTCTCAAATATTGTCGATCCGCCGAGTATTCATGCTATCAGTTCTAAATTTGCCGAAGCACTCACAGAACGCCAGCGGAAGCATCCTGTTGTGCAATGTGTTGGTGATATATTCCTCCAATTTGTACCCCAGTTTGAGCCTTTTATCATATACGGATCAAATCAACTGGCGGGAAAATTTGAGTTTGAGAACGAGCGATCTTTGAATCCCTCGTTTTCTAAATTTGTAGACGAGACAGAGAGGCGAAAAGAGTCACGAAAGCTTGAACTGAATGGTTATCTAACGAAGCCGACAACAAGACTTGCCCGTTACCCACTCTTGCTAGATAATGTTCTTAAGTATACCGACGACGGGAACAAGGATAAGGAAGATATTCCGAAAGCCATGAAGATGATTCGTGAACTCCTCACCAGGGTCAATGCCGAATCCGGCAAAGCCGAGAATCGCTTCAACCTAAAGCGATTGCACGAACAGCTTCGTTTCAGGCCCAATGAGCGTGTAGATTTGAAGCTTACTGACGAAAACCGAGAGCTTATCCACAAAGGACCTTTGAAGAAGACACCAACAGATCCAACTGATATTCAGGCCTACCTTTTCGACCATGCTGTTCTTCTCGTACGTGTTAAGACGGTGGCAAAGAAGGAGGAAATTAAGGTATACCGTCGCCCAATTCCTCTTGAACTGTTGACTATTCGCGAAATGGATGAGTTTATGCCTAAGCTTGGAGTTGTGAAACGTCCATCATCAAGTCTGATTCCTAGCAAGACTCCTACGAACGACAACAGTAAGAAAGATGGGTTCCCCATCACCTTCAGGCACCTTGGTAGAGGTGGGTACGAATTGACACTGTACGCAAGCAGTGCGGGGATGAGGAACAAATGGATGGAGCACATAGGTGAACAACAAGCCATATTACGTGCGCGAGGCGATTTCTACAACAAATCTATCATTTCTAGCAACTTCTTTACGACCGTGAATAGGGTCAATTGTGTGGCACCATTCGATGGTGGACGTAAATTGATATACGGTACGGACTCGGGCATCTTCGTTTCTGATCGCAGATCAAAAGATGCCGCCGCAAAGCCACTTCGAGTATTGGATGCTACCAGTGTCACACAGATTGATGTTCTTGAGGAATACAACCTTCTGCTGGTTTTATCTAATAAATCTTTGCAGTCTTATCCTCTTTCTGCGCTGAATCCGAACGAGCCTGCACTTTCGAAACGACCCAAGAAAATACAAAGCCACTGCAACTTCTTCCGCACAGGGATATGCTTAGGCCGCCATCTTGTATGCTGTGTTAAATCATCGGCTTTGTCGACTACTATCAAAGTATATGAGCCCAACGACGCGATGTCCAAAGGCAAGAAGCAGAAAGGGTTCAAAATGTTCAGCAATGGTCAAGACGAGTTGAAAGCATTCAAAGAATTCTACATTCCAACAGAATCTTCATCCATTCATTTCCTCAAATCAAAACTATGTGTAGCCTGTGCACGTGGTTTTGAAGTAGTATCTTTGGAAACTCTAGAGACCCAATCACTTCTCGATCAGGCAGATACATCTTTGGACTTCGTTGCTCGAAAGGAGAACGTACGACCAATACATATCGAGCGATTGAACGGAGAGTTTCTTCTCAATTACTCTGAATTCTCTTTCTTCGTCAACCGTAATGGATGGCGAGCTAGACCCGACTGGAGAATTGATTGGGAGGGACTACCACAGAGCTTCGCACTTTCTTACCCTTGGATACTCGCCTTCGAACCGAACTTTATTGAAATTAGGAATATTGAGACTAACGCTGTTCATATTGTTCCTCATAAGAGCATTCGTATGCTGCATACGAGCACTCGAGAGGTATGTGTCGTCCTAACATTCATGCGCGAATTTTACAAAAATACTGATTGATTATAGATCATATATGCTTATGAGGATGAGCGAGGAGAGGATATTGTTGAGGCTATCGACTTTTGGCCAGCTGGACGTAAGCCCGAAGCACAGCCAGTTTCCAATGGTGCCGATTTCCGTGACGGGGTGCATCCTCCAACATCCTCACGTCATTGAGCTTGATTTTAAGCCTGTCCCGTACAATTATAATAATATGAATACCCACGCCATAATCATCCTCATCTCGATTCTCAGGTTTAGAATTACATGACATCTGATGAGTTTCGATCAATCTCTTCTATTATCTCCTAGGTGTGCTGGACATGCTGGTTTTACAGCCAAAGTCGTGCATAATACTTCGGCTCATTTTACAATCTATCGACTTATTGAAGAAATGAGATACCATTTCCCAAGCACGTGGACTTTTATTTTGCTAACGGTGGCTGAAGTTGTTCCTCAAAGTGAAGAGCAAAGGATTCTTATGAAGTCAAGGAAAGATGTTAGGGTATGGGAAAGGGGCGACAGGCGTCAAGCAGTGGAAAGGGGGAAAGAAGATGAGATTCCTTCCACTACATCTTTTGATTCTCTCAGCTTTTTAAAAATTTTGACACTCGATTGGTTGAATAAAGGCACGCATGATATCTATGTTTCTGTACATTGCAGCTGTAGTCTTATGAATAGAACATGTGTTTCTTCGCTCATTGATATTAAACTTGGTGAGTCTACTTACTTGTGAATCTTGTTTCTGTAAAACTACGTAGAACTCGGCATATGATGGTGTATTCGAAATAACTTTTTGTCGGCCGCAAGATTTGGTACGATCATTGCATTCTCTTCAAACGGTTATCGTGTACAGGTTAGAGAGGATATGTGGACTTTGAAGTTGTTAGAAATCTCTAAATTTGTGCAACCAACCGACTTTTCTATGAATGTTCCACTTTTTGTTGACCTGTAAACCATTCGAACCATTCTAGCCCCCATATTTGATCTATAATCCACGCGGATTTGAGTATTCTATTCATCTTTCAGCATCTCTCGTTGTGCTCGTAAAACCTTACTCCTTTGCTTAATCATGTGTGTGAATAAAATATATGAACCTGCATCTCGTTAGCATCTCCATATCTTAAAGATTGTTACTAGAACACATACCAGGAATATAAATCAGCAAAATTGCTTTCAAAAACAAAGGATACAGTGATCCATATATTTCTCCCGCAGGTTCAATAGCTTTATAGATCAACCAACATTCACTACTGATCCCCAATGGATATAAAACGAAGAAGGTATTATAGCGAAACCAAGTAATAATATCAGGCTTGTATCCACTAAGTGTGATAACGAAGTAAGAGTATCGAATTACTTCGGTGACGCTCCATGCAATGAGCATTGTAGAGTACCCGGTGCTTTTTGCTACCCATGGGAATGGGTTGACGATGAACCAGACGAGGAGGAGTCGACTGGCTACTTGCATGCCGGTTGTACTGATTGGGGCTCGTACAACACCTAAAGATTGAGAATTAGCATTTTCTTGATCGCAACCGCATACAAAAGGACGGTGAGAGAAAGAACGAACCAAGAGCTGCATGCACAACCTCCAAAAGTGCCATGGTTTGTGTCCATTTTACAAAAGTACCAACAGCAGGATATAAACGCCCAAATCCGACGAGCGGGACAAGGAGAACTACTCGGCCCAAAACGACGAGCCAGAGAAGTGCGGATACAAAGTTGTAGAGGATTAGGTATTGGGTTTTGCTATTGGAGGACTGGAGGGGTTTCGGTCCACGCTTTTTGACGGGGGGTGAGCGGGTATCTTGAGGATCCATGGTTGTAATCGCAGCAGGAAGAGAAAGAGCTAATGTTGGGTAGAAGAGGGAGTGCGAGTGAGAGAGAGAAAGCTTGTTGTTGACCTTGAAGTTGAGTTGAGTGAAGGAGGAAGTGTGGTGTTTACGTGTTGAGGATTGATAGACAAATTTTGGAGCTTGGGCCATCTAGTACACCGAGGCCAATAAGCAAAGTGAGCGAATGTGGTAGATCTCGAGGTAGATGTCGTCACCATTTTCTTGTTCCTTAACAAATTCATAATTCAAAATCTATTTCACATTTTTGCTTCTTTGGGGAGCGATTTGGTTGAGTAGTTGGAAATAAGTCTCGAAATTTCACTCGGCCTGTCATCTTCACTACTGGAGAACACATCATGCTACTGGCTGTGTCTCAACCTCTTATTAGTCTCTCCATCAAGAAGATATCACCACTTCATTGTTTCGAGTTGACTAGAACATTAATAAATGTGGTTGAATTGTGCAGAGTGCATTGGATGTTCATCTCATGGTCTCAAATCAACCCATGTTTGCGATGAAAGATTGGCAATGAAGCATTATTTCGCGTCTAATGGGCAAACTTATTGTCCTAGGTAGGCTTGCTGTTCTTCCTTCTTTCGTTTCCTCAATCTTCTCTCCCGTCTCTTCCTACATCTTGTTTCATCCAATACATAGCGCATGAATCATCTATCAGATTGTTATCTGTGAGGGCCATCACATCTGCGCCCGCATCACAAACGAGCGGCACAAGGCAGCACTACTCGTCACCATCTTTACCTTTCATCTCGTTTGGCATGCAATCGTCGGCTCAAAAATGTAACATTCCTAGTGGATTGACATATAGATATGAACTATCTTGTACTTGAAACAGTATCTTCAATATTCGTTGAGAACAGCACCCTCACGAACCATAACCGCGGGACCAACAGTGACCAACCAACACGCGCTGTACCTTGAGAATTACACGCTTTTGGTCGTTGGATTGCGGCCCAGGGGATTATTGCCACCCCATGTATCTCGGAACATGAGAAGGATATTTTTGTAATGTTATTTGTGACTTTTCAACCTTCCAGCTGCAGAGTCCAAAGTGTGCTAGGGAGTCAATCTTAAAAATCATGCACTTTTGTCTCAACAATTTCGGGATAGTTCCGATGTAGATACAACTGCATAGTTTATAGAAGATATGGATTTTCCACCTACTTTCAAAATCATATCATTATTAAAATTGTATACTGCAGGACTGTTTTGCATGATCTTGTGGAAGACCAGTTCGCAGACACTTCTCAATCGATAGTATTCAAATTATTGTACACTTTCAACTAAAACAACAAAATCCCAACCTCTCCAAGATGATCAAATCATAGTCTCCGCATACCCGGAACTTAAATCACCTATAGGACATGACTTTGGAGATGAACAGACACAAGCAGAGCTCGAGCTCATGGATGAGCTGCACAAGTTGGGCGTCTCCACGTATGTGAATTTACCTCAAGTATGCCTTTTCTCTTGTCCAAGTCACTTTCAACCAGTCTTCTATCCGAGATCAAAGCAAAGCTTGCTCTGTGCAACAACGATATCTCCAAACTAGGGCCGCCATGCGTGACCAATTTCCAGCAGTTTACTTTGATAAATGGAATCGCAACAAAGTACTCCAAAATGGCGGGAAATTCTCCAAATGGGAACTATCGAGGGCTTATTAAGTCTGATATGTTTGCGAGAAAGCTAATTCGAGATGCGCTTGACAAGTTTTGTACCACATTACAGGCAGAGGGTCCAGTGAAGCCTTTTGTAACTTTTACAGCGGAAGCGAAGCTTATCCCTGCCGACGACGGAATGACATGGTCGGAGAAACTCATGAAAGGTACTTAGTAATATTGATACGAACAACGAAAACATGACAATGCTGACATGAATTTCTAGATCCCAACGTGTTGTTGGATACGCCAAGTAATTGAGAGCTTTCGCGGGACCGAATTTCCTGGTGACCCAAATCCGTTGGTAGTCGACTCTTTATGGAGAAAGCAGACCACAGGTTAGAGAGCGATCACCAAGGAAGCTCTTGCTGGGGCGGAGAGAATTGTCGAACGGGTGAATGAGGCATTATTCTAAAATGTTTGTTCAGATGGCGATATTCGAGTCAAGTTGCGGGACTGGTTGCATGCCGATTTTCAAAAAGCATCAGTCGATGCTGCGAAGGAGCTCCTTCGCTTGAACGTCTGATTGCAGATGAAATTGAAGGCCATCTTTTTACCTTGCACCCCCATTTCACTGCACTTCGAACGCATTGATAGCAGAACAGAATTAACGAAGTTACAAGCATTTTGGCAAAGTGAAAAGCATGGATGAAACAAGAACAAGGTGGTGCACTAATCCCTAATCTTTCCACTCTCATCAGATAAAATTGTTGAAACCGAACTATATCATGACAAGGAACTAGCGGTAGTTTTGAATACTCATGACAGTCTCGAGGCCTACTATGAATTGGCCAGATATCGATTCACCGACAGCGTTGCAACTCAAGTTATCAAAAGGCACCTGCTTGGTCCGGATGGTCCACTTGCGTCTTTTTTCTCCTCAGTATGTATCAGAGAAATTATATGGAGAACAAAATGAGGACGCATCAAGCAGTTTAGTTGGCGAGCATCCAAATAAGGCCCAAAAGCGACTCGGCCCCAATTCTGAGAGGCGTAGTCTCGAAGAAAGCTTGAAGTCTCTTCATGCTTTCAAAATGCTTTGATGAATCTCTTGGTGAAATGTTTACATACGAAATTGCTATTGGGCTTATAATTTTAAAATCACATTCTTACGTACCACTTCTGTCTCTGGTTCCTTTTTTATAATTCCTTCTACGTCGAAGTCTAGTTGTTCACAACCACGGCCCGCTTAGAAGAACCACCTGTAGTTGAGCTAAAAATATCTTTGGCCATGAGGTCCAAAACGTGCCATTCTTCAATTAGATTCAGCATCTGCTAATGAGCTTCACAAACGTGACCCTATCGTCCACCCATCAGCCAATACAAAACTTCCTCCAGAGTGACTTCACATCTCAAGAAATGTAGATCATCTGGAAGAAACTTCTAGGCCTGCGCAGTATCGTTGGTGGTATGGTGCGATGGTCAGATATTTGTGTTCTTGACGAAAAATATGTTGGTACTCTTGAGTACCTAGGTATTTAAGGTACGATGTCGTCCTTCGTATCATACAAAATCATCTCATCGTCAATTTACAGCATATAGCACCCAGTCGAATCACAATTGTAAAAACTTCTCTAAGATTTCAACTATCCTTTCTAAAATCACCATGGCACCGTCACTTCTTTTTTTCTTCGGTTCTGATAAATATATCGATGATTGGATTGAAGAAAAAGAATTCAAGAAGTATTACAATGAAAAGGACTTCTATAGTCCCGAAAGAATGAGGGTGTCGAAAGAATCGGATCCGAAGGATGTAGTGAGAAGAATGGATAAATACGAGCATAAGAAAAACAAAGATGTCTATTTGCATGTCCTAATTCCTGGCCATAAAAAGGAGAAGCGCCCTAGTCTTTTCGGTGGTGGTGTAACTGAGCACAAAGGTCCTCCTCAGAAGTCAATGACAAACCTAAACATGCCTATTAATTTTAACGTTTTTGGAAGGCAAACTATCAACATCAGTGTTGATGATGGGGAATCAGATTCCCATCATGGATCTAGAAGTCGCGGTGACGGCAAGGAGAGGGAACATAGACATCGTGGTGAGGGTGAGAAGAGAGAGCATAGACATCATCGGCGTCGGGGAAGCGGCGATTCTCAAGACAACAGAGACGCTTCTCGCGATCGTCGAGAAAGACGTAGAAATCGCTCTCGCGATACCCTTCGTGGAAAGGAAAGCGAGAATGGCAGATCTGAAAATCGAGGAAAGGGACCTGATCTCGCGAGAGAGAGAAAGGATGGTCGTACAAAGCATAGAGAGGATAACTTGGAGTCTGAAGATTCTGGGACAGAAATTTCTAGACCCTCTGGAAGAGCACCGACTGTGAATCGGTCCTCTGTAAAGGGACATAGATCCAGAGATGACTCTAAGCGAGAAATAACTGAAGAGGATCTTCCAGAAATAGACGCACTTTCTCTTGTATCTTCTCAAAGGCCACTCACTGAGCAGAGGTCCTCTATAAAAGGCTCTGTAAAAGGATATGGGTCCAGAGATGGCTCTAGACGAGGAATACCTGAAGAAGATCTTCCGGAAATAGATGCAATTTCTCTTGTATCTTCTCAAAGGCCACCCACTGAGAGGATGTCCTCTATAAGAAGCGCTGTAAAGGAACATAGGTCCAGAGATGGCTCTAGATAGGGCGCATCTTTCGAAGATCTTCCAGATGCGGCTCCTCTCGCATCTTCTCAAAGAACATACATTGAGAGCAGGCATTCTTCAAGAGCTCCATCTACAACGGTGCAGTCTAAATCATCTAAAAAAAAATGACACCTTACCTGCTAGCTTGCACAAACTGACGAAAGAAAATAAGGAAATTATAGATGATGCGGCTTCTTATGATGGTCGTAATAAATACCAAGAGGCTTTTCCAAAAAATCGTGAACGACGACGTTTGGAAAGAAAAACCGGCCTTCCTCATACCACATAAGAAGATGCGGATTCATTTTATTAGTAAACTATTTATATAGATATAATCTGTTTCGCAAAGATTATCAAAAATGAAAGTCGAATACGAGAGAGCTTTAGAATTATTCATGTTGAATGAAAATTATCGATTTCGATTTTTGTGATTATTTTGACTAAATAATTTTGCTAAAATGAAATAAGTTTACAATGATTATAAGGATCTTTAATGAGATACTTTCTTACAAAATTTAGTTATTCTATCTAAGATATTAGAAGGTTATTTATACTCCTCTATTCGAGTAATTTGTAGCAACATTTACATACTATTCTTTTCTTCATGTAGTAGAATTTTTTGAAATTTACTATCTGACTCACTCTATTCTACTCGTAGTATCAGTAATTCAGTATCCAGACCTCATTGGCATATAGAATTTCCCACCAGATTGCGTGATTTTTAGGTGAAAAGATGTATTGCAGAGGATATATATTGTGATTTATCAGCTAGATCCCTTATTGGTTCCCCACGCTCGGTATGAGATCCACCCCCACCTGTCCCCTCGTTACGAGTTCATCGTTCATGTTGTGACCAAGCAAACAGATAAACAAACAGACAGACAGACAGACAGACAGACAAACAAGCAGGAAAGGAAACATACACAAATTACTACAAAATAACGCAGAATTTTGAGGGCATCTCACATACGTAGATTCACAATGTTGATCACAGGAATCGCTCACGTAAATCTTACGGTGCTACCCGGCACTCTTCACTTGTCCAAAAAGTTCTACGACGAAGTATTAGGCTTCACCTCGGTTCCAGTACCGGTCTTGCAGAAAGATCATCTTGCTTGGTATGGCCGGTCTTCCTCTTCCTTACTGTCTCCAACAGTATTCTACGATCCTATTTATTAATGTCAGTCCCCATACCTGTTCATGTAGTTTTACTAACAGACCTCCCAAGGTTCGATATTACCCCCCAAGGCCAACAGATCCACATCTCGGATTCCGCATCCCCTTCGGAGCCAAAGTCTTCTCGTCATCCATGTTTCAAAGTCGCGAGTCCAGAGGCTTTGATAGAGCTGCAGAAGAGAATTTGGAAGTTTTATGAGAGTGAGGAGGCTGGAGAGGCGAGACCAAGAGAGGCTGATAAGCCCGGTGAGGTTGATAGTGGTGAGTTTATCACGTGTTTCTTTTTATGTGAGGGGAGTGCGATTTCGAGAGATAAGGGGAGAGAGCGCGAGGGGAGAATCAATGTATGAATCGCCCATATTGACTGACCTATTCAGGAGCCAAAGGACTGGAATACCCTGTCAGGTTCTTTGCTAGGGATTTTGCCGGAAACAGGCTGGAATTTAGTTCGTGATACAGGTGGCTACTGTAAGTGTCCCCCTTTTCGCCTATATATCAATCATATCGAAAGTCGTCACAGGCGACTCTGTAAACTTTTTCTTTTATTGTCCTTCCAGAAACATAGCATACATTGTCTTTGGAACGAATCATCCGGGTCCCCATTTTTATCCATTTCAACCATCTTCCCTTGTATACTTATGGAAAATGCGATCTCCCACGTCGACTATTTCCGTTCCATCGAGAGTTATCAGCTGACATCCATAAGCTCAAGTTCTGACCACACAGACACAGGCACGATGTCGGTCCACGACCACTAATTTCGGATCTCCTTGTCAATTTCATTACGAGAACAAGAAACACAAGCGCTGGCGCTTGATTCTAGACAGGATGGAACCAACAATTCGCACTGTACCGCAATGCGGTCGGGCCGGTCTGTATTTTCCATTAGCCGCCGTACAAGTCTTACCACCACCTTTGCGGCCCGAGTTCTTTCACTTCGGAACAGGCTATCAATTCATTAGGACTTCTATAAGGCCGAATAACCTTCATGTCCGTGGCAGTGTTCTTGTGACGTTCTTGGTGTGTTAGGTTGATATATGGAAGGAATGAACATACTAACTGGCAAGTGCGGTCTGGCACATCTCTCTACTTTGTAATTAAGTATGATGTGAAACAGAAGTTTCTGTATTTTTATTATTATCTACTCAATCATTTATTCATCTTTGTAGTTGTATCCAGCTATTGTCTTTCATTTCATCCCACGTTCTTTCCACAAAGTTCACATTTCAGATTTTCCCAACTACAGTCATTGTACTAATCACAACCGTCCTCAACCCTCTCGCATGAACACTTCATCCATTACCCTCCCGTCTATCTTCAAAGCCATGCCTTCACTCTCACCACATCTTCTTCAAGCCCGTTCTGCCTCTCCCGTCTCCTCCTTAAAAGCACGCTTAGATCCCACAATTCTCGAAGTCCCCTCTGCCGATATCAAAGCCACAAAGGAACAAAGCGACGCTTTTGAAAAATGGTTCGATGATTTGCCCAAAGATAGCAAGAAGAAGTTGAGAAAATTTCAGAAAGAACATGGGTTAACGCGGGATCAATTGATCTTGGCTGCGTTAAAGAAGTGGGCGCCGGACTATGTGGGGCCATTTAAGATGGCGATGTTTTTTGGTATTGTGTAGGTTTGTCCAGTGTGTGTGCATGTGGTGAGATGAAGAAAGAAGGTGATGGTTTGGGAGAAAGGGTGGTTGATGGATGGTCTCAAACGGTTTCAAATGTGTTGACTCGAGAACAATCGAAGGGAACATAACACAAGAGCAGATCATTCAATTCATCCTATTTTATCTTATGCCGAGTATCCGTAGTATCTTTTGAATGACGGTAGAGGTCAGGTGTTCGATGCGGATATCTTCATCACGAATACATAAATAGACGAGGGAGTATGGAAAAGTTCCAACACACGAAAAGAGACGCAAAAGATAGAGTCAAAAACCCCTAAGGATAACTATGATAGAGCGATTACAGCCAGCGTGGATATTGAATTCTGCAAGAGACACCTCGATGTAAGACAAAATGACAAAAGAATATAAATTCCATGTTAGCCAATATGATCCACATCTAGTAATAGACGGACACAACCGGCGTGCCCCTCGAGGTCAACAAAGATTGCAGGCAGATGCACCGCGTATTAGCTAGTCCTGACTATTAGACGAATACGGCGGGCTTGTCTCAGCGAAGAGTATAGAAAGAAATTCTGTGTCTGTTTTCAAGGTCGGAGACATATGTATCAAGAAATTTGTGAAAACATAAGGAACCCATGAAACCAACATTGTTGAGAGGTGAGGTAGTTACTTACAAAAAACCTAACCGGCAAGTATCGCTAATGTTTGGCGATATGGCAGTCGCAATGGTAATGAATTAGCTAGCAATCACCATTCCAACACACATCTGATGCGCAAATCATTCCCCTAATTCCCAATTGAAGATATGTAAAACCAAAAGCTCACGCTCTATTCCTATGATAACAATAGTCCCACCCCTAAACCGCAAACTTTTAAATTTCCGTACCACACATCGCGCCCTGCTATAAGAAACACGCTGCCTACTCCCACAACTTCTCCACTTCCTCTTTCCTCAACCTTCTAATATGAACTTTACTAGCCATATCTGGAATATTGTTCCATCCAAACGTCCAATCCTTCAATCGATCTATTTCCTTCCAGTCGTAGTTCATGAGAAATTCAATCAACATGATTTTCTCAATCGTGAGAGCCACGTAGCGACCTGGACAGGCGTGACGACCTGGTATCGGTCAGTATACCTAGTTAAGATCAGGAAAAAAAACATTCACACATACCATATCCGAAACTCATAAACTTTTCACTGGGATTCGAACCCGCGATCGTCTCATCCCTCGTTCTAAATCCCTTGAATACATCCGCATCTTCGTAATTTTCAGCATCTTGATGGATCGCCCATGCCAATCCCTCAATCCTCTCTCCATATGGAATATGGATAACTTTCTCCCCATCTTCCCCTTTACTGATAAAATCCAGTCCTTCTTTCTTCGCTACCTTCCGACTACCCAATGTATACCCCAGCGGATGTAATCTCTGACTCTCTCTCATAAAAGCATCCAAGCTTCTCAACTCCCCGATACTTTCTCTATTCCACACTCCCCCAAACTTCTTCCACACATCTCTAATCTCCCTCCTCATAGGCTCCACATAAAGCTCCTTCCTATGCCCAATAACATCATAAAGCACATGGGTAAAAGTAAGCGTCGTCGTATCCACCGTCGCAAAAAAGAATCTACAAATCCTATTATTAACCCCCCAAACCAAATCCTCCACCCCCTTGCCCTGAAAAGCTTTCTTCCCCCTCACATCCTCCACCAACAACGGCAAGACCACCCCCCTCTCATAATCCTCAGCCGTCACACTCCCCCTCACCAAATCCCTCACATCCTCCGTCACCATCCTCTCAATCACCGCAACCTGCGTCGTCGTCTTCATCCACGGCGCCACAAACCCGTGACTCCACTTCGGCAAGCGTCTCAACAGCATCCCGGAAAAGAAAATCCCCCGCGCAAACGTTGCTATGTTATTAACCCACACCGCATCGCTCGCATATTTCTCTCCACACGTTATCCGCGACACGATTTTCGCCAGCGTAACATTCACATGGTGAAATAAACACGTGTGTGTCCATCCCTCCGCATCCATCTCATTTCCATCTTCCGGCGCAAAATTTTCTCGAAACGCAGTCGTGGTTTCCGCGAGCAGGAGCGGGATGATCTCGGGAATCGAACGGGTAAGCTTGGAGATGATGAAGGTCATCATGTCTTCGCTTTCGGTGGAGATGAAGGGCCGCATTAGGAGGAACTGTGTTGGAGGGTTAGTCCGGTATTCTTTGCTTGTTCCTTACTGGATTCGACTATTTATATAGAATTGAGTGGAATCCCATCAGATCAGACCAGATCAGATCAGACAGAATTATCAAGACATCAATAACAATACAACAAATAAACATACATCTTCATTCGCCTCATACGGATCCAAATCTCCCGTCCCCATCTTGCCCGCCTGCGCAAAGACAGAATTAGGCAATGCCCACTGAGGACCCAGGGTTCCATTCAAACGAAACGCCTTTCCATTTTTCGAGTACTATTTTGAATATCATCCATTAGCACCTATCTATCTACCTTTTTTCCCTCGAGGAAAATAAAACTGAAATCCCAACCAGAAAAAAAATCTCTCATTCATTTCGCCGAACAAGAATCCCAGAATCCCAACAACCATAGGTTAGGTAGCCAAGAACAAAAACAAAAACAACATACCTTCTGATACGCACCAACCAACAATTCCTTCGTCGACAACCCCCTCCACGTCCAAGTTTCCCACCACGAATTCGCTACCAATGGGGCATATGCATTGTAGCGGCGCGAGCGCAAATACGACGTCAATTGGGATGATAGAATCCAAGTGACGAAGACGATAAGTAGCGATGAATACAGAGAGATTTCCATTGTGCGGGTGTGCGATGGAAAAAACAATTCACAAGAGAAGAACGGGGGAAGGCAACACTTCAATGCTCGAAACCATGGATGGTTCGAAAATTCTTGGGGAAGCATTCACTAGTTATTAAACGTATCATGTATGGCTGAGGCTCAGATACTCCGCATTGGCCTGGTGAACCGTTGGGTCTAATCATTGCCCCCCCCCCAGCATCCGTGTACTCCATATCACAATGATTCTCGCAGGCAATCTGCAGGCGCAGGTATTCCCGAGCTGCAAGACAGCAAGTATCACGTCGCTTAGAAATTCGGTTCTAGATGCGGATAAATTTGTAAAGCAATTCGGAGAGGTCCACATTTATTAATATGGGGATAATTAAGAATCCGATTGATAATGTCTTAGCTTTTATAACCCTAAAAGGTAAAGGTTGCAAAAGCTCGTTCATATATACGAAGTACCCGCTATCTCATCCCATCTCCATAAGAAAGTGTACAAGCGATATCATGACATGTTCCCCTCTCCAACGGACCTCTCTTTAACCGACCCATTATCGTACCCGAAGAACGCCATTTGCAGTATCTAAAACCTGCAAACCAATCCATTGATACAGCCGTACACCAATCCCATCCGCGTCCCAAGATTCGCCTATGAATCCACATTTGGGTTATAATCTAAAAACCCTTGAAACGGTCATCGTATTTTGCCGCGAGCTCTTCTGTGTATGGTTCTCTTCCTTCTTTTTCATCGGGGTATAAATCGAAATTTTGAGCATCGCCTGGATATCTCAAAGGGGGTATAATCGGACCACGGTATTTCCTGTAATATACATCTTCCCAGATCACTCCTTGGAAAAATGGGTGATCCTTAACCCGAGCAGCTCCACCAGATATATTTCCGAGACGATGTGATCGATCGAGCGTGCAGAATTGGCGAATGATATCTTTTGCCGCAGGCGAAATGGCAGGTTCGGCAGGGAAAGAAACTGGCTTGCTAACAATTCTGGACGAAATTTGGTGTCAGATAATGTGCAAATGATTCAAAGACAATGAGGAAATGAAAAACGAGATACATACTGCTTGTAAATCTCTATTGGATTCGAATGCCAAAAGGGGGGATATCCTGTGAGGAATTCATATATTAATATACCCAAAGCCCACCAGTCGACGGCCGTCGTGTGGCCCTTTGATTGAATAACCTCCGGCGCAAGATACTCTGGTGTACCACATAAAGTATATGTTTCCCCTTCATTGTTTGTCAATAAACGGCCAACAGAGCCCTCGAATTTACGCAGCTTACTGTTCCCCAAACGTTTTGCGAATCCAAAATCGACCAATTTTATATGTCCCTCAGCATCCAACAACAGGTTCTCCGGCTTCATGTCTCTATATGCAACCCCTTCTCGTTCATGTAAAAATTCAAGAATCAAAACTATTTCCGCAGCATAAAATCGAGCGGTGTTCTCGTCGAATCGTTTGGCTTTTCGTAGATAGGAGAATACTTCACCTCCAGGGCAGTAGTCAAGCTTAGTAGAGATAGAAATTAGTTCCAGACAGAAAATAGAGGACCCGGATATCCAATTTGTAATGGGAAATGGGAATATTTGGCAGAGGGAATCCTATGAACATACCAACATATACAGTGAATCATGATCAGAAAAAGAAGTAATTAATGTAGTAATAAAAGGATGTCCAGCAACATCTGAAAGAACCGAACGCTCGTGATTGACATGGTCGACTTGTTTAAGTTTGATGACTAGATATTGTCAGTCAACGATATCGACTCTGCTTCTGCAAGTCGACTCTTACCCTCGACTTTCCGCAAGACCTTCAGCGCAAAAACCTTATCACGATCCTCTTCAGCAGGGTTCGCAAGACGTACAAGCCAGCTACACAGTATAAAATCAGAATATGGTCAAGCGAGAGATTCATGAGGGTGAATATCGTACACGCGAGCGAATGTGCCTATTGAGTGAAAATCAATTAGCATACATTACGTGCAGGTTCCGTCATTAAGCTACACAACACCGCACATCGCATATCATCGGAGCGTACCGGTTCCTAAAGTCCTCACCAACTCAAAGTCTCGCACACTCAAATTTCTCGAACTTGCTCCCAAACCTTCATTCCTTGGATTTTGTTGAATTTCATCAGGGGGCAAGATTTGCTGGTCTTTGAAGTGAGCCACGAAGTTTCTTTCTTCTTCAGCCGCAGCCGTCGTGGTCTCAGCCATTGTGATTTGACGTGACGGTGAGAGTCTCGCGAGAAGAAATGTTTCGATGTGCCTCTTATTTTCGAAGACTTCGCGGGCTTACTGGAAGCAGCAGACTGCAGTAGCCATGCGGTTATCGCGAAACTTGAGGTACTTGAATTGGAGAGGGGGTGGTGGGGCTCAGTTGTTGAGATGGAGATTCCTATGGATATACCGATATTTGTATTTATGCGACGACTTGGGACCGAGCTTTATGATTGCCTGATAGTGTACATGTATAGTACTAGGTAGGTAGTCCGAGCAAGTCTTACTCTTACTCTTACTCTGCACCAATACGGTCTTTGTCTGTGTATAGCAATTGAGAAGGGTAATTCCGTCGATTATGATCAATTGATTCTATGAAGAGAAGTTCTTCTGGCATCCCAAGGAGACCGGGATATGGTGAAATTTGAAGGAGGAATGTAAGTAAATAGGTGAGTACCGAGTAGGGCGACTTCTTCTTCTTCTTCTTCTTCTTCTTCCGTATTGTACCTGTCTGTATACATGGTAGTATAGTGGGGGGATGGGGGGGAATTTTTGGTCGGGAGGTATGTATCATGACGTTTTTTGAGTTCGTGTCTTGCCATCAATTTCATCCGATTAGAAAAAGAAATCTATCCATTCAAATACCTAGACCTGTCACCTATGGTATGGGTACGGAGGAGATCTACCATAGACTGGTTGAGAACCCATTGACAATGACCTACATATATGGGGTACCTGTTCATTTGCATCTATCGTCGAGTGAACGATATTTGAATTGTGGTATTATTTGTTTAGAATTGGAGAATTTCAAAAAGAATGATGCTATTCCCATCAAATTCTTAATCATACTCATTTCTGGAAAAGAAAAAGGTAAGGAAAGGGAGATGCAAAAAGAAATTCTCCAATAAATCGGTGCTCACATTCTTCAAACACGTGATCGATTACTCACCCAAACAAGGATTGAAGATTCAATCCCGCAGGCCAGGTACTTCTATCTTATTCATTACAAGTAACAAATTTGTATCAATACATCTTCACATACCTCATTATAGGTATATATCTAATTATCTAAGTGCACAATGTCAGGTTGTTTTGTCATATAATTTGTGATTACCTATCTAATATCTATGTTTGTACGGTCTAGGGATACCTAGTTATGGTTGACATCATATGGTCCGCCTAGGTTATCTCCCTTGATCCTCTGTCCGATATACTTACTAGGATTTCGTAACGTTCCATAGAATTATTGCCAGTGTTCATTATCAACTTTCAGCAGATTCTTGTAGGATAGCTATCACAAACTCTCCAGGCCATCTTCATACCTATACCTCTACCTACCTGTACCTCAATCCTAAAGTGTGTATTATCAGACATCATTCCAGGAAAGTTTACCGAGACGGTAGAATGCAATGTGAGTCCGACATTTTGGACAAGCCGTGGTGTGGATGGAAAGATGTTTGGTAATGTTACATCGCCATCTGAGGTTTCCTATTGGTCGAGAATGCGAGCTTGCAGGATGGCGGGCCGAAACCTTGAAAAGCCGAAGATGGACTGTGGGAGAGGATATGAGATCTGTGTATAAAGGATAGTGTGATAGTGACCTGCTTTAACAGCGTCGCCTGCATAGACTGTGTTCCCTGAGACAAGCATTATCTTGATCCCTTTTCCAGGATCACGAAAGTAATTACTCTTTGATGTTCCCTCTATGGTTGTCAAGCTTGTCGTTTTGAGATACTTTTCTTTCAAACTTTTCGAGGTAGGGTCAATGTTAGTATGAAGGATTCTTTGGCAATTGATGTGCCGTTCACATCAAGAGGTGAGTTCTGAGTAGTTAAAATAAGAATCAAGTCTTACATGGTTTAGGTGTTGAGGTCGCAGCGGCCCCGCCCACGAAGACCTTGAAAGCGGATCTCCCGAGTGGGAACATGTTCCTTTGGAAGCTGATATGGTTCCTTTTCGCGGCAAATCCTTCCTTGAAAAAATATCATCAGTAGCTGTATAACAAGACTGAAGCGAACCGCAGTACGGATCGGGATTCAGGAGGAGCTGATAACACTTACTCGTCGAGAGATCCCATGGGGCCAAAATGATAATTTGCGCGGTGAATCATTATAATAATAGCTTTGTTGTAGTAAAGGAAGTAAAAGACTGGCAGTAATGTATCTGCGAGGCATATTGTTCCAGATCGATGAGGAATTCAAATAAAATTGAGCATCTGAGTAGAAAGTGACAGTTTCTTTCGCTGACATGTAGATCTGATTCTGATCTATAGATCTGATCACATATCGAGATAGTCTTGCAATGAGTCAGGCACCAAAATAGTTGCTACAAGATCCGAAAGTCGTAGAGGGTGGTGTGGTAAAGGGGAGGAAGTAAGATATCTGGGAAGAGTAAGAAGATATAAAGATACTTCCATAAAACACACCAACTTCATTTCGATTTGGTACACCAGCAAAGTATGATTTAATATACTTCGACAATGCCATTTCGAGCCTCACAAGAGCCTCAGCACGTGCAGAGAGTGTCGCCGAGTATAACGCACCCCACTTTAAAAATCTCCGGTACCAATATCATGCCATATCGTCAAAGCTGCTAGAAATGAGATGAATCGCCTTTTCCAAATTATCTCACCGCGTTGGCAAACCTCTAACTTAAAATATACCCCAGAATGCACATATCTCGTAATTTGCCCTATGCAGCCACTCTTCGCAAGGTGAATTCTTGCCTGAACTTCGGTGTATCTAATCATACTAGTGAGATATTGGTAGAATGAGTAAATGCCCTCTGTAGAAATATCAAACCAATCGTCTATTGTATTTTGGTCAGCAGAAGGTAGGTCTAACCCCCCACGGAACCAGGTAAAAGTCAATTTTTTCCACCAAAGTTCCAGTGACTGGTGTAATTGTAATGCATGCTAATCTGACTGGTACCTTGGTAATGCCGGCATTGCCGGTGCTACAAGCCTAATTTGGAGCTCACAAGGCGGACAGGAAGTTGACTGAGGGCATTCATCGTGTCAAGTGAAAGTTTTGAATCCATTGCCCGCGTTTCTCACACGGCCGCGAGCAACCTTGCCCAGGATCTAAAACCGGGCGAATTTTCCTCTACAAATCGGGGCTGCAGATAAATAGGTATATTGTCTATACTGGGACACCGATGAGGAAGTATCGAGGCCATGCCATCTAACCAATGGCTTGGTGGCCTTGAATGTGTATCATATATGAATGAAGAATTGTATGTAAGCATCACTTTGAGCTTATATCATATCAAAAGAGATAGCAGGCTCCGTCTTTAAAAACAGTAATTTTCATGAAAACTAATTTAATGCCTCTCAAAAGTTTGAAAATGAGGCGGTACTCCGAATACGAAAAGGAAATCCGAAATTGCAATCCCCCAGCACATGAATCTATTCTTGTTCAGACATTGTTGCAAACCCATCCGACAATCCATAGAAAGAAACTAAAGCCTAAAATACGGAGACGATCGTCCACTTCAGACGTGAATCATGCATAACATCTTGTCCAACGCGCGGCGCGATGCAAATAATAAAGACGATTTGATATCCAGATATCATGACAGATGAGTAACAGGAAGAAAGGAATCAAACAATGTAAGCGCTACCTTTTCATAAAAGCCATCCCCACTGGCTCTCCTCCCCTAGATCTCTACACAACTTCCCAGGTGGGGGAGATACAAAGATGTGTTGGCCTGCATTTGGATTAGCTCCAGATTTGCTTCAAACGGCGCTCAGCAATTGACATTGCTACTCACTAAGTTCCGACTCGTATTTTAATCCAGTCGGTGGTGCAATTTACACATCTTTGATGTCCACATGATGTGCAGTGTGAATTTAGAGCAGCCGTCAAAGCTCCATCACCATTTAATCCACAATTACAGCAATACCAGATCTCACGGTAAATGTATTGCGGTTCACTGGTGTGCTGTCCGCTGCGTTTGCTGCTGTGATTGTGTTTGCCATTGCTCGAATGTTTGTGATGAGAATGGCCGCGACTAGATTCATGGCCAGTCTTTAATGATGGTTGCGTGCGCTTGCGATCGTGATTTGAAGCTATTGCTACCGGCGAGTGGGGATTCATTTTGACAGAGGATATGCAACTGAAGGGTCAAGCGGACAAGTATGCAGAAATTTGCAACAAGTTATAGATGGCTTATACAACCGTGAAGACGATTTAAGGACTTGGAGAGTGGCAATCGCTCTTCGATTGAGAGGGGTTTGAAGATTCTTTAAATGCTAAGAGGTATTTGACGGCATTTTGAAATTGGTTGCCCTCTACAATAATTTGACAACACAGACGCCGCCCTTCGCAGCCCGGAATAAAGCCCCCTTACCCCAAGCTGCGAGTGATGTTTTCCAGAACACGTCCTCGTATGATAGACCACAGCTGAAATCCTCTGAGTTCACCGGAAAGATAGATGATGCCCCATTCCGCCCTTCGAAAATAGTGGAATCTCGGGGTGGCTGTGATTAATCTAGAGTAAAGAAAGAGCTATCTTCTTCCAAGGAAATATTCCATCGGGCATACGCCACTCAGGAATATGATGGAGCAGATTGAAATCCTGTAATGGGTCAGGCTCTGAGATGAGAGGTGTATTTGCTTAAAATCCCTCTCTTTTCGGCTTGGTAATGATGAGGAGAAAAGTTCTTAGACCAGGTCAATTATATCAATGCCATCATGATGGATACGATCATTTTTGCATCACGAGAATACGGACACAAATATAGAGAAAGAAAATGTGGCTGTATGAGGAAATAGGCAGAATCAGGGTATCCGAAGGCGGGCTTGCAAATTGGACGCGATGTTTTATCACCTGAAAGCGATTCAGTATTGAAATTAAATCTATTATCTCCAATCATCTGGATGTTCTCATTGAGATCAAAATTGAAATCCTCTTGTTACCGAACTGCAATCTTGACTGTTGAAAATTCCAGGCTGAACCATATAGCAAGATAAAGGATGGGAATACGATTTACACAACTAGTGACAATTTGCATTTTCCTGTGGGAGAGCTTGCCACTATGGTATTTCACATCTAAAAATTGATATAGAAAGCACGCGCTCGCAGAAAGAATCTAGGAAGCAAAAAGTTCAAATTCTGTTTGGGTCTATGATATGAGATCTTCTCCAAGTGAAAGTCTATGATATATGAAAAGCGCAAGTTTTGAAATCTAAAAACTCCACCCAAATGCAAACGTTTCTTGAGTTCAGTGACATATGAGAAAATGCAATCAATGAATTGAACACCAAAACTGTTCCGCGTAGAAAACCCCCTTGTGAATTTGCCCCATCTCTCCTCAATGCATTTTATCCGATGCCGATAATCCAATCCTAAGTATGCTTCGCATACAGTCTATCATGAAATACGAAATGACCAAGGTGCCACTTTTTCAACTAGACGATACGTTAGAATTGAAATATGCCTAATGGGTATGTACCAACGTACTTAGCCGTGGTGGTGAGATCTGATTTTGACCCATTCCACAGGACATTCACTGCACCGCACGTGTGCACATCCCGGACAGCTTATAATTTGTGTTGTCATTCCGGAGGACGTGTAATTACCACTGTAATCACGGCACCAACAGCACGACCAAATACACACATTAGCTTTTGGAGCTGGTGCAGCAGGCATCTCGAAGACAAAAGTTTGCTTAGTTCGAGGAAGGGAAGCGAGAATATAACAATCTGAAAATACGGATAAGGAGGGGGATGCTTTATCTTCAACTGCGAGATATAGTGACTCAATCGAAAAAGGTGAAGAATCAATTTGTGGTGAAGTGCAATGCTCTGGACGATTTCGGACGTGGTGCTTGTATGAAAGATATATATTTACGATGTTGGATGGAAGATTTAAGGAAAGTCAAAACAAAAGGAGACCAAAGCCTTCATTTAAAGAAAATGCCTTCGCTCGAACAAGTTTTCACCGAAGTGTTCTTCGGTGTACTGAATTGTTGAAGCCGTGGCCAAAACATTAGGGCTTAGCATTCAGACCCCAGCTTCTAAGTCACAGAAGACTACTATCTCCATAATCTGCGGTGAGCTACAAAGAAATGGCCCATTTCCTAGGGAGTCACTCACACACCCATGGATAATCGAGCGGACTCATCACACAAGAAAGTTGCTTCGATAGGAATGAGTCTTGCTTGAGGTACCGCAGCGAGATCCAATCCGACCAGAGGAAAGCTTCTAGCTCAATGATGCCCTCGGTGAGTCTTAACCCCTTAGTGCAGTTACCTAGATTCGTCGGAGACTGTAATACGATTCATTCTCTATCAACGACCCAGTTGAACAAGGCAGGAATAGAAATTAGTTAGTAGTGGCTACCTCCGACAATGACCTCCACTTGACTTCCATAAAATTAAGCAAAGTGACTCTACAAAGGAGATAGTAGTATGATTAGTCAACAAGGCTGGATGGCGTTCCTGCATTAGCATCAAATATGCCCGTGGGAGCCCTGTTTAGGCATGAGGCATGAGGCTCAAAAAAGTGGGCCGGTTGGCGCAGCGCAAGAATCCGCTCAATGCCTGAAGACTTTTCCCTAGGCAGTATAATTGCGAGTTCGGTGAATGATACTGTACGGTTTGAGATGTTGAAGAATCGAGTCTGAGCCTGTTCCAAAAGCCGGGAATTAGGCAGTGGTAGATCAAATTTCTGTAACTGGGCAACTGAAAGGAACCACAAGGGATCAGAAAGAGTTGTTATTGTAGATAGATGGGGCGGTGTTTGTTCAATTTTGACAGCCAAAACACCGGTGAAATGAAGCTTCAGTAATTCTTGGTCGAGTTAACAGCGTTCCCATGATATTGAATCAATGATCCATGCTACGTCGGGTTGTACTCAGAATAGCCGATTACACTGAGCTTCTATGAATGATTTGTATTTAGAAGTAAAGTTCGTTAGGGTCGCTGAGGTTGCTGAATTTCGATATAAATAAATCGAGAGTGTAGAATTGGTTTTGACTTTTATTGTGGCCCTTGAAATCTTTGGTGTAGAGGAAGAACGAGGTCTCAAGTCAAGTGAAGCTGAGTTCAATGAACCCCCCAAGTACACAGGACACCGCGACGAGCTCGAATCATTGTAAGAATAGACAGTATAGTTTCGTCTCCTTTGGTCACACTCCAATGAGATTCCAGCCTCCTAAACCGCAACACGCTTCAATAATTGCCATTGTCGATAATGCTTTCAGAGCTTGATAAGTTCTTGGTAACTATTATGCCAAAAAGTTTTCAGTGGCATAGCACCAAATTGTGTTCTGTGGGACGAGGTCTAATCTGGGGTATGGTATAGCTGCCCAGAGCATTAGTGGGACAACCGAGTCCAGATCGGTTGGACTGAACAACGTTCTGTTTGCTATCAGACCATGAAAGAAAGTAGATTTGGTATCTTCGAGTGGCCTGTGTATAGTTAGTGAGGGCGTATAATTCTCTTGGTAGAGTAGGTAGTTAGGTACAAATGATTCTTTGTACTTGATAGGATAGATCACTGCTTCACAATACCACAGCTTCCAGCGAGATTTAGAAGATTCGAAATCTTGTACTAGAAACAAAACTCCAGTAGACTCACGCATTTATGAAATGAAAATCCGGGGAGTCTCACTGTCTAATACAGACGAGAAGATTCGGTTATGAAATGAATTTACGTACTTCAGCTAAAACACAAATTGGCGATGGAGGTTAAAGGAGCCGCGATTGACTCATCACATCTTCTGATCGAATTGCCTACCGTATTTTCATTCGAGGCATCTCCACACTTCAATAACTTCGGACCTTCTTGTTACAACTATGTAATTGTATGGTTATAGAGGGGAGGAGGGTTCGCTGATGGTTTGCGGCCAGCCTTGTCAGCAAGAGACATATTGCCGCTCTCTTCTAGTGTGGGTCATCCATCTTAATGTGACCTTCGTTGTTTAAAAGAGCCAAGGTGTTAGATCTAAAAGGGTGTGAAGGAAGGTCGCCTGAGAAAGACTAAGACCAGCCTTCCTACGTCGTGAGAGATGGTTAAACCATAAGTAAAGGAGTTGGTTTGGAAGCCAGAATATGCCCATATACGATACCGAAATGCATGGAAGGGTAAACATCCAACAGCTATATAACTTATCCTTCGCCCAAGGCGTTCGACTCAGTCAGAGGTAAGATGTTTGCCGCCAACATGAAGTGATATCTGTTTGTTTTCGGCTTAGTTTTGGTCGCTGGAGTCAGGCGATGATTGTTCTACCGAGGGTAGAGTAGAATGAACCAACATGGTCTCGCTCGCCGAGCAGAAAAATCTGGAGGTGTTCTGCGATCTCCCGAGCAATTTTGTGGACAGGAAAGATCTAAAGGGACATCTAGGATATAGAGATTAAATGCGATACCTAAGACCCAAGTTCACCCTTTGAGCTATATCGTCTTTCAAAGTAGGATCTATCGATGGTTCAATATGTCGCAACGATATAGGCACTTCTTGAGAGTTGAATACAAGAGCTGAATTGGTTGATAGAAAGAAGTTTGCGTAGAACGTTGTGTAGAGATACGAAAAGATATAAATATAACCGCGGGGCATGTTGGCGTGAATGAAATTATTCACGTGTCGTCGGGTTCAAATTAAAGCTTACCGGTAACTTATTAGTGGATCAGTAATTAAGTCCACTGTCGTGCAGTGGATCAATCTTAGACCACAAACGCCAATCTCTTGAGTCTCAATTCTTGAAAACAGAAACCTTAATTGGAAGAATCATTTTGTAATAAATCGACATTCGTAAACACATTACACTTACAGGCTTCAAATTAACCACCTCTTTTCAATATTCCATACCCTACCGCGAAAGAGATGTTTGCATATACTTATTCAACATCAAGAGTTACAATACCTTCAACACTACACACACATACTTAAGTGCCTGTTGTGATGAATCGTTATTGCAGGCTCGGATACCACTCTCACTATTGGCACTCGTGCCAACGACTATTTTGTCATGCCGCCCAACGATATTGAACGCAGCAAACGCGCTGCGAACATATGGACCGCGCGTTTTATGCCTTTTGCACTTGCGGGTGTGGTTGGCTATGTTACATATGTCATAGTGGCCATTCTTTGTGGTAAGGCGGAGAATGACATGAACATCTTAATACGACCTGCTAACATCTTGCTTTCCAGTAAATTATCTTTTGGTCGAACAGAAAAGTAAGGGCGCCGCAGTGCCCATTCTTACAACATATTTTCTGTTGTTCGTCCTCATGGCCTCGTCTTTTTTTCGAGTTGTGTATATGACGACCTTCGATCCTCCTTATGCGCCACTTGGAGCTGGAGCTGCTGGGATCCAGCGTAGAAACAAACGAACAAATGATGATATTGGCGGGGGAGAATACACTTCAGGGGAGTTTGATGGATCCAAGAGTGATCCAGACTCTCCTGGACTCGAATTGTTTTACACAAAAGATGTCTTCGGGGTGGAAAAGGATGGGAAGCCTAAATGGTGTTCCGAGTGTTGCATATGGAAACTGGATCGCCAGCACCACTGTAGTGTTGTAGGAAGATGTATATACAAAATGGATCATTATTGCCCATGGTATGTCCACTGTAGCTTCTTTCTTGTTTTGTGGCTAACAAAGTGTAGGGTAGGAGGGCCTATCGGCGAGAACAACTTCAAGTTTTTTATTCAATTTGTTGGATACACCTCTTTATTCTGTATAAATGTCCTTGTAGTGATGGCAGTATACGTTCATCGACAGCGTAGCACCCAGGTATGATTGACCCTTAGACTTTCATTTTCTCAACCTTTCAAATGCAATTGAAGGTTTGCAATTCATCGAAACAGGGTGCTCGAGAGCAGAATATTGTTGACATGCACTAACTTTGTCAACTAGGGCGTGTCTGTTAACCGCCAGTTCATTGCCGTTCTTGCACTGTAAGCTAGTGATCCTCGTGATGCGCTCCATTACTGACCAACAATTCAGAGCTGCATTTTTTGGCCTGTTCACTGGGACGATGTTCCTGACATCCGTGAGACTCGCGATCAATAATTTGACACAAGTCGAAGACATTACTAGGTTTGGAAAGATCCATCGACTGGCAATACTAAAGCCATCCCCACAGAGGTTGGCGGAAATAAGTGTAACAGCCGCTTCGACGCAAACTTATTCCGAAATAACGTATCCGCTAGACATTCCGGCACCCTTAGACAGCATTCGGGTAAACCGCCCGTATGTGAAAACTATCAGGCACGATCGCTTATCCGAGCCAATTTCAGTCAATGACGCAAGGCTAATGGCTGGTCTCACAGGATTGTCTGCCAATGCAACAATCGAGCCAGCTAACGGGAGCGTCCAGCCTGGACTTCCGCTCTCGCAATCAACAGAAGTCGGCATCGCTGATAATTCGTCGACCGCTCTTTCGTCGTCTGGAGACATTGAAGCACCAGCAATTGGTGGGCTCCAGAAACCTTCAGAAAATACTGAGCGGTTAAGTAGAGACCAAAGGGCTGTACGTACCTTTGCAATACTTGAAACGCTAACCCCCGGCGATAATCCTTGGGATCTTGGATCCGCTCTACTAAATTGGGAGACTGTCATGGGAGAACATACTTTGGACTGGTTTCTCCCCATGAAGAGAAGCCCGTGTTGCAACCACGAGAATACAGAAAGTCACTTCTCGATTGGCCCATCTGTAGATCGCATTCGAGCCTCAGTTAGCTTTATTCCACCTAATGAGGTACGACCTGAAGGACATCGTCAACGAACCAGGCCAAATCGCCATAAGAAAGACAAAGCGAGTAAATCGAGGCAACATTTTAGCCCAAATGACGAAGAAATGGGACGAAAAACGGATGAGACAGAACTGCGAGATCTCCGCGCTCGTAACTCACGCCATAGGTGATATAGGTTCACTTCTTTTTTAATAAATTCACAAACTAATGGAAGTTGTTCTGGCTTGAAGCGAAGTTTGCTACAAAACCAGCACTCGCAATATATGGAATCGGCGTTAGGTATATTACGATACCAGTATATAGAAGCACTAAATGTAATGATTAATCTAATTCGACTTTAGAAAGGCTTTGGGGTAGAAAGTAATACCTTAAAGCTCTCCAAACACTCACCCTTATTAGTGTTCTCAGTTCATTTTGTTCGAAATCCAGAATCTTACGCATCATGATACTGATTATTCATTGGATACGAAGCTCGAAAGGATCGTATTGTTGTCGAAATGCCTGCTTTTGTTGTCTCCTTAATTTATGCGAGGGAATTCAACCAAGTGTAGTATACCTTTTTCCACACCCAGACCCGGCTTCTGAGCATGCTAACACTGCCGGAGCCAAAATTTTCCCATATACATCCATCGCAGGGTCTAACATTGAACCAATCTATGAGCAACTTGAACACATTTGAAGAACTCACTTGACATTCGAGATGACTTGGAAGACAAGATAGAATATCCCACGTGATTACACACAGACTATGCGCATCGCCATAAATTCAAGATATTCACACTTAAAAAATCTTCGAATATTTCGGAACTCCGGAGTCTCGGAAAAGCTAGCCTTGTCAATCTCAAGCTCACTTTTGTAGTAATGTGCCTCCAATTTGACGATTTCTCATCGACGCTTTCGCTCACGGCACCCTTTCAGCTTTAACGACCTCAATCTTCGAGCTGGCAAAGTTCACATATGTGCTTCGAAGAGTTTGTGGGTGGGCATATACCTCCTATATGACTTCATACCTTTTCAATGATGGACTTTCATATCAGCTATGCAAAGGTTGGTTAAAAGTTTGAAAGCAAGCATGAGAAGGTATTGTCCGCAAAATGGGAATGAATCTATTGCCCAAACCTCGCAGCAACCTCTTAGCTGACTCTGCTAACCTTCGAAACACTAGGAAGAATAGTCGCGTAAGTGATGAGACAAGAGACTCGCTAAATATATAGGGCATCCGATACATAATCTTAAGATATATTGTACGGGGTATGGAGCATTGTAATGCAAGTCCAGTTCTTACGCTTCGTTTTCAGAAGAGGAGTTTCCGTGCTGTTGTGGCAGTCAACAGATTGACACTCAAACACGATAATGCACCTTATATCACTAACCGAAGGTCTTGGGTATATGGTACGGTATAAGGAAGGACATAAATCATAACTCTAATAATCATTATCCACGGAGCCAACCAATCTCGCGAACTCCATAACCAATATCGACAAATTTTCAGCGCCAAATAAAGAGAGAAATGAGCACCTTATCATTCAAATTCAAAACCAATAACCCATGCTCCCTGTCCAACAAAAAAATCTCAAATTTTGACCCATGCACAACCATTTTATCACTCTGGAATACCGCTCGGTAGATAAACTCCCCCTTCTCCAAATCTTTACCACAGTACCATCGTCACTATCATATCCCATACAACCTTTGCTCTCGTATTCGACGGCAGTCGGTATTTAATACCAAGCCTGCTGTGAAGGAACGGAACAAGAGGTGCAGTTAAGATGCGAGCAATCGGGACAGTACCAACCCCATGTTTTGGAATCGATTTCTCGCGAGCATACGCAGCACAGCCACCATTCATCTAGGTTCGGATTGTTTGTTGCAGTATATGTAGGCATTGTGGATCTGAACCATCAGTATGTACTTCAATGATCAAGGTGGCTTTAAGACTCGAATACCTTGAGCTTTGGTTCCCTTCCTATTGAAAAGTTTCTAGTTTCTTGGTGGAACAGCGAGGGGTAAGTTCAGGTGGAAAATGCCGATGTGTTGCGAGAATGCTGCGTCTTGTTGGTGTTTTTGAATATGGAGATGACCTTGATGCGGATTCGAATTGTCCTGAGGAGCAACGCTGTTAAATACTTTGAAAGATTGACGTTCCGCAGACTAAATCGAAGTTGTTCACCTTTCAAACGCCCCTATGACTGATATCCCAATGTCGCATCTAAACGATCGGCACGGTGCCCCTCGAAGTCTCCACCGTTAATGGTGACTAGCAGTGAAGTTTCTCCCGGATCATCGTTAGGAAGTGGCGCAGCTGGTATCGATGGAGAGGTTATTTCCGTCGTGAGTTGCATTGATACAATGGAAGTCTGTAGGTTTGTTGTCGAGAAAGGTCTTTTCGTGTAACGTCACTCTTTCAAGAATCCTTTAGGAACCGGCCCATTGGAACAAAGCACATTTCGCTGAGTCGTTTGTCACCGAAGATCTGTGGATAAGCCCCTTGGACGTAAACGAGAACATCTTGGAAGCTACATGGAAGCTCATCAATTGATCCGCCGGTGAACAACGGGCACTCGCCATTACGCGATGAATGAGAAAGTTAAAAAGACTTTAGTATAGGGCGCGTGGGGATATAGACCAGGTAAACGGATATGTGAGTACCAAAGTCTAGTTATTGCGGGCATACATCCGAAGTGGCTTGCCCTTGAACCCACGGCATCCTGGAATTCTTAAGCGCGCTTCAATGATCGGTCACAATACGAGCGTTAGCAGGGTAGCTGTTCAACCAGCCTCCTTAGTATAGTCAATTGCATTCCAATTCCTACAATTGTGGTTAACGAGAATAGCTTGAAGGAAAGTAAAAATCACTACCGCAAATCAGGGGAGAGGTGACGTATCTCTATTTCTTGAAGTGTGGATTTTCCCAACTCCTACGGTAAAGTACTGAATCCTTCGACCTATCTTTGTGACCGGATATTCTGGTAAGGCTGGCAAAGAATCGGGAGCTGTATATAGTGATGCGTACGCCTATTCTTAGCCCCAGCACTCTTAAGTGCGGTGCTCAAGCTGATGATGACTCCCTTATTCCGAATTTGAACGGCTGGGGCTATATCTCACCGCAAGAGGAGGAATGAGAGAAAAAACGAGAGTATCAACTGGGTGAAGTTTGCTAGCAAAGAGTCCAAACTCACTTCACACTTTAGCCAAACATTAAAAACATTGTGTTTGGGGAAAAGATCTAAATAATGTTCACAGCCTCGTGTCAATCGCATACATGAGAACCGAGTCCCGACTCAGCAGTAAGGGTTTTACATCTCTGACCTGTTGGTATGTTGTGTGACATGCCAGTCAATTGAAATTCGACAGAAGATCCATATTCTGACTGCAGAATCAAGCCATACGAAGTAACATTGCTTTCTTTTCGCCGCACTATCCTCAAGGAGCCGCTCTTTGAGCCGCAAATACTTTGATAGACGAGTAACATGAGATATGCAACTAGTGCTGGCTAAAACAAACATAAGCATGACTACTACAGCTAGCATTCAGGGTTACTTGCTCTCGAGTAATCTGAGCTCGTGTCACACCAGTCAGATCAACATTTGACCCAAGACTGAAGATAAAGCCGGCGGCCAGAAAAGAAACCCCTATCCAAGATTAGTGTTAGAATGATAGCGTAGGTAGGTATCCATACATAGAATTACAGTATTCATTATACCTTATTTTGGTTCTGGATGAAAGACCGTAATAGTGTCTCTGAGTTTAGGTGATTTTTCAGTTTAATATCTTCTAGCAGTTCTTTCATTTTCACATCTCAATACAAAAGGAGCCTCATGTGCAAGGGATGAAGTTCTTTTAACCGATCACCATCCCATAAAGCTCACATGTGTGAGGAGACTGCACGAGCGGCCGTCGTTACAAGCAGTTTAGCCCCGAAAAAGATACAATATTCCCCAAAACACCTATCACAGATCCGAAATCTGATTCATGTCCTCTCAATTAGAAATTCTGAGATCAGATTTTATCTGCCGGCTAATCAAGTTTTCTTCTCATCCCTAGCTCTTTTCCCATAATATTCTTCCCTTCAGAAAACCATGTCAACATTACCATTCTTTCAAGAGATATCTTTTCTGGTTCTTACATCTTGTTTCCATTTGGCTTCCCTTCTAATCTATCAAGAGCATCCTCGATAAGTCCAATATGCCCTCTCAAGGTACCCTCCAACTCATCCTGCAGAAGATGTGTTAACACGGTGAAGTTCACTCAATTCGAAGCGCAAAAATCTAGGACAAGACACATAGTACGGTGGAAGAGAAAGCATAAAAAACTCAAATTGGCCAGTATCTTCATGGGCCTACCCAACGCCTGATAATCTCTTGGAGGCGAATCATTTCCTAATCGTAAACCCCGCTCGAACACGGCTATCAGGTCGAGATTAACAGCATGGCCGTTGATGTACGAGGCCGGAATAAGGTGCAAGTATAGACTGTCAAGGAAGGTACAACCGCACGGTTACAGTGAAAACCATGAATCTTATTTGGAGATGAACGCTCGACTGATAGTTGTTGACCTGTAAACGGAGATTGTGCCAACTACAGACAATCCCCTGTGCCGGGTGATGGGTATCCTCGAGTGTGATACTGTGACTTGACCTCTGAGCAACTAACCTTCCCTGGATGCAATGATACCATTATCGACCAAAAAGAAATCAATATTCCACATACCATTCTTGCTTCATGATCCTCCGAGAGCTCCACCATATGTGATCTCAAGTTATAGGTGCTTCCCACAACACCTATCAAAGTAGTGAGATTTAGAGCAAAGAGAGCTGCGGGTTTTCGTAGAAAAGACATGATGAGTTTGAACTATTGAATGTGGTTGAAAGTTGGTTAGATGAGATCAATCCAAGTACGAGTAAATAAGCTGGAATAAATAAATAGATATAAACACAAAATGTACAACAAAGGATATATATCCTATGTGTGAGTTCGTGAGTTCGTGAGTTCGTGAGGTAAGATTACAATATCACAAGCTACGTACTTAGAGTCATGACATCAGCACAGAGTAGTTTTAAGGCGCGGTACATCGCGCAATCACGTCTCCCGTTACAAAAAATGGAAAAATACCCTTTAACGCGTCTACACCATTCATCGAACTCTTCAATCAACGGCTGAGCGGGATACTGGATTGCTCTAGCTCTACCAATAATAAGTACTTTTATCCAAAGGTAAGACTCAAAACCAATTCACTATCCTAGTGGTAGATGTATGAGAGAGAGAGTATCATTATCATCTCTGAACACAAATGGAATTTCCTTCAATATTCGTGACGTCTTAACAATTACCACTCATTCTATTCTATTGTTCAACTCCGAATCGAACATGTCAAAAAAAGACTACGCAATTGCTTCATGACACCGAGTCTAATTTCTCGGGTTCAGAGTTTCTTTTCGATACTTCTATTGTCGCATGTACAAATTATGGCCACGGAATAGCGAATCTACTACTACAAAATCAGATCTCTCGAGCGAAAAACCCAAAGTCATGTCTTCTCCGCAACCTTTTATGCAATCGTCCCCTCTGCAGGGCTCACCGTCGCGTCGCAAGAAGAGTCAATTTACGTATAGGCACCTCGCACAGTTGGCTCTTTCTGCTACGTCATGCCCTCTGAGGGTGATCGCACATCTTGACCTTGACGCATTTTATGCGCAGGTTGAGATGGTAAGGTTAGGAACTGAGGAGGACAAACCATTAGCTGTTCAACAATGGTGAGGATTCTTTACTTAATGGATGCTTGACCATCATGCTCTTCGAGGGTCTGCTGAAGCTAATACATGGTTTGAACATAGGCAAGGTCTCATAGCGATCAATTATCCAGCCAGAGCATTTGGTCTCAACCGTCATGTAACTATTACAGAAGCGAAGAAGCTTTGTCCAGATCTCATATGTCAACATGTTGCGACTTGGCGCGAAGGCGACGAGAAATGGGCTTATCACGACGATGCTTTCAAGAATATTGCTACACATAAAGTCTCTCTCGATCCTTACAGACTCGAATCAAAACGCATATTGGCTTGTATAAAAGATTGTTTACCCAAAGAGTTGCAGAGAGTAGAGAAAGCTAGTGTAGATGAGGTTTTCATGGATCTATCTGCCCAAGTCCATGCGACGCTTTTGGAGAGATATCCTGAGTTGAGAGGCCCTGCCCCCTATGATGATTTGACGGAACAACTGCCGCTACCCCCCACGACTTTTCTCGACTGGAAAGCGGATGCACTCGTGGATCTAGATAAGGATGAAGCGGAAACTGATGACCCAGATTGGGATGATATAGCAATGCTGATTGGTTCTGAAATCGTACGCACAGTTCGGGCTGCAATACGTGAGAAACTCAAATATACTTGTTCGGCCGGCATTGCCCAAAACAAAATGCTGTCTAAATTGGGTTCCGCGCATAAGAAGCCAAATCAACAAACTGTTGTCCGGAATCGGGCAATTCAGCAATTTTTATCAGGCTTTAAGTTTACGAAGATTAGAAATTTGGGAGGCAAGACAGGTGAGGAAGTGGCCAAGCTATTTAATACAGATATGGTCAATGATCTGTTGCTGGTTCCCATGGAGCAATTAAAGCAAAAATTAGGAGAAGAAACCGGGACGTGGATCTACAACGTCATTCGTGGAATTGATGTCAGTGATGTCAATTCTCGAACTCAGATAAAGTCAATGTTATCTGCAAAATCGTTTCGACCTAGTATCAACACTCCCGAGCAGGCTAACAGGTGGCTCCGCATTTTTGCGGCGGATATACAATCCCGATTAGTGGAGGAGGGGGTTCTAGAGAACAAGAGAAGGCCCAAGACGATCAATTTGCACCACAGGCATGGAGCCCAAAACAAATCTCGACAAGCGCCCATTCCGCAAGGAAAGCAGATGGATGAGATGCTCCTTTTTGAACTTGCCAAGACACTTCTAAATCAAATCATGCTTGATGGGAAGGTAGGGCCTTGTTCTAATTTGAGTTTAAGTGTCGGCGGTTTTGAGGATGGAGTGCCCACTGGTAACATGGGTATCGGGGCGTTTTTGATTAAAGGTGAGGAAGCCAGGACTCTAAACAATCCAGCTCCGCGAGAACCGAACGTATCTGCAGAGAGATCTGTGAAGAGACGTCGTATACTTGATGCAGGAATCCAAAAATTCTTCGTCAAGAAAGATAGCGTCGAAGAGCACGATGATGATTTCGGCGGTGAGCAGGGTTTAGCTGGGCCAGGTATCGTATATGAGGAAAAGGGGCATTCGCTTCCCAAAGTGGATTCCAAGGCTGCACGTTTACCGCAAGTGAATGAGGCGGCCAGAAGGCCAGAAACATCAGCCAATCCCTCTGCCCCCAAACAATCACACATTACAGAATTTCTATGCACCCGATGCAATCAGGCGCTGGATTGTGCGGAGGCATTTCAGAGTCATCAAGATTGGCATTTCGCTAAGGATCTTCATGATGAGGATCGTTTACGGCGTACATCGCCAGCTCCTACTCCTTCCTCCGCTAACAAAAGGGGTGTGGCATCGAAGAAACGAGGCAATGGACGTGGTAGCCGACCAGAAAAGGGTCAAAGCAAGTTGACATTTGGATAATGAAAAACAGATGAAACAACTCTCACCGACAGCGTTTTCACCCTACCTTGAAGTGCTACACGATACCTTTAACTTGTAGGTGAATGCGCCGAGATTTTACCACTCATGCTGATGGGCAGAGCCCTATGGTTCCCCAGAGGACGGCCAGTTCATGCTCGAACTATGCTCCGATTTACTGTGCAACTGGAACAATGTGCTCACCGGGATCGCACATTTTAGATGCAACGTGATGTCCGGATGTACAAACACGATTTTTGCGGTATGACTTCCATTGGACAATGAATTTGTAGAACATGATCTCTTCGAAGATACGAGTAATGCAACAACAACCATTACTGCCATAGTATTCCTTCTAGAGGTTCAGCTAGAGCCGGCCACCCGGCCATATTATGGCCTTACAAATGATAAGCAGGTTTGCTATGGATCCAGGCTGTCAGATTCTACAAGCAACACTCGTACTTGGATCTTCAGGACGGTCATGCGCAATATTCAAGGCATCAAGAACAATAGACAATGTCTCACCCACGCATAGTACCATTGCCTGGATGGGATGAAAGAGATACCGTTAGCCCTACCAAATTTAAGTCGTTCGTCTCTCATCAGATATTTTGATCGGCAGAGTACATCATCAACCACTGTACATATACAGTAAGACGCAAAGAGTTCCAGGAGCCTCGTGGTTGTGAGAAGAGGTAATAGAATAAAAATTATCGGATTATCGGTAGGCCTATAGTGACTCTAGACAATCTACAAACGCCAGTCGCATGGATTTGTTGTCAATGTGCCTTAAATTAATCCATGTCTGAAAGTATCATGATGGCTTCTCGAAAGACAAATGAAAATTAATTTTGAACCATTGTGAACCTGTGAAATTGAAGTTTATATGGGTTAGGCAGCATTTTCCTTGCGTTAGGCTGGAATGCATCAATACCCAACCCGATTGATTTCGCGCCACAAAAGAATCAATCACAGACCACCCAAACTACCAAGATCACAAACCTTGCCAGCAAAACTGCAAGAATCGCTGGCTGCCCTTTGCTTTTTTGCATCTCATTCACTATCAGCATCCAGCATCACGATCACCAGTTCCTGTTCCAGTTCCTGTTCGTTCTTCGCAGAATATTCAAGCCTTGATGGTTTCTGTTGTGCAATCCGAGGCTCGGAATTGGGGGTCAAATGTCACATCTACCATTGGTCCCTCGGTCTAGTAGATTGAGATATTAATGTGATATGACAGGTAGAATCCTGTGCACAACATGTGTGTAGAGTAAGTATAGCACAGGGCATCGCATAGCATAGCATATTCATGTAAGGTCAAGGTAGGTCAAGGTAGGTAAAAAGGCTTTGATACAGATTTGACCAAATAATTCGATTGCCATAAACGAAGAATTGGTCAAGGGGAACCTCGGCGTCGCTCATTACAGGATGGATATTCTCCTCTGATGTATTCACGCGTCATCTTCGATCACTTTACACACTCAATGTGTGTGCCATCTATTTCCCTACTTTCCCGCTGTAGTAGCAAGGGAAGGAGTTCCACTTTCTGGCAAAGTCGGCGAGTCTATATTCCCCAGAACCCAGAATTTACGTTGGGTCCTTGGTCGTAGGACCGAATCATCATGGAACAGTATTGTGATAGACTGGATTTCGATCCCTGGGTAGATCCAATGGTTCAGGCTTGAGAGGACTGGAGATTATGATGGGTTGGAGAATGGATGAGCTGATGATAGGGTGAGATATCAATCTGTTTGATGAAAGGTTTCTGATAAGTATACAGAAAGATGCCCTTAACATAAAGGTTTTGGTTAGAGTTTTTTTAATGATTCATGTCGACATTTTTCACTATATTCCTGACATGAAGATATAAAACTTTGAACAAGCAATACGAAAATTTAATATTTAATTGGTTCACTATTTAAACACCTGGAGACTTCTTCCCACGCCTAGCTATAACGAGGCATATTTATCTCTCTCTCTCTCTCTATATCCATACATATCTAGGTATTTGAACCTCTCTACCTATATACTTCCCCAAAGTTGTCACGGCCGTTGTTGCTGCTGCCCCCTCTTTGAAACCCCATCGGTGCCATCACTATCTTCCACCTTACCATATCCAACCTTACGCCACACTTGTCGACCCATTCCAGATTCAAGTCATCCTTCCTTTACATACTCCCGTACGAAAGTACCTCGGAGGATCAAGAAAACAGGCTGGCTCGCTCACTCTGCCCACATTTGGTTTTGCATTGCACTTGCTATTCGTCATATCCTGCCCACAATACCTGACTGCAAGAACAAGAATTTGGTATTGTGACTACATTCCATAGCAATCAATATTAATTACCTTGGATAATCTAAGAAGAAAAGAGAGAGATCCTTCCTGCCTCTCCTCCCTCGTCTTTTCTCCTCCTCTTCAACAAAAAGAAGGTTCAATCATTTTCTGGAATATATCCAATCAACCTAGATCAGATCGGATCAGATCAAATCAAATTCATTAGAAAAATCGATTGAAAAGGATCTTCCTCTTCAAACAGAATAATAAGCATAATCCCGTCACAAATCTCTCAATTTTCCTCGCATTCTTACTATACAGCTGCTGCTTGTTGTCCAATTATTCAATAGTTATTCTTTTGACTGGTTGGGCTGTACACGATCTTTAAAAGCGGCCAGTTTAAAACCCTTATGACTGCACCTTTCCTAAACGGACATTCAGCTACAATTACAGTCGACAGGGGGGATTAAAAAAAGACACACTCGACACACCACTCCTCGCAAACCCAGCCTTCTCTCGCTTTTGCCACTTTCTCCCACTCTTCCTCTCACACCGTCTTATCTAAAAATCAATTCTTCTTTTGAGTAGTGAGTCTTCAAGACAAGAGTCAAAACTTCCATCGAAAAAAAGAAAAAACACAAGGGGAACAAACAGATCGCCAGCTCAGAGAAAATATCCCAGTCATCATTCGTCTAGAAGGTTAAATTATTTACTTGCCTCTTCCTAGAGTACGACTTCATATTACACGACATTATTATACCAGCTTCCGCGTCTCCTGCGTTACCACTCTCTGGGATTGGATAGGACCTTTTCAAATCTTACACCCTCTTCTCATACGCTTTCCAAGCTTCAAAGTTACTCAGGACCAACCGATCCTTTCTCGTACTTCCACAGGATTACTTCTTCTCGAGGCTCCCATTCACCCCCCCCGCCCCGGATATTGAGAAAGTTTTCCACTTCTCTAAACAGGATTTTCTTCTAGGCCGTGTTCTGACTATCCAATTTGTCACCGGTTATTTTGTGTGCTACCACATTCATTCCCTAGGCTGACTTGTGTGTGATTTGCATTCCAAAATCCTCACTTCTGGTCCTTCTCTTTCTCTTCCTACCAACCTTTTCCTGGATCATCATCATGTCGCGACGTGACGATAGAGATAGCAGAGCTTCGCGCTCGCAACCGCAGCCACCACACTCATCTGTTAGCAGGACAGGCCAGTTTGTTATTGACGCTGAAGGTATCGACAGAGAAGTTATCACGGCCGACATCTGCCGGTATCTTGGTAACGATGCTCTCGTCAAACCGGGTGACGTGGAAGTAAGTCGACTCCAAATTTTCAGACTTCAATCTGCGACGAAAAACTAATGTCTTTATCTACAGGACCCGAGGACGAAACAACTTAAGCCTGTATACGTGATCACAGCTTACAGGAACCTCACAAATGTAATGTCGCGTTATATCGATTAAGTGATGTCGCTGATGAATTTGAGGTATAGGCAATGATATTTGATTTAAAGCAGGCGTCTGCAGACTGGCGAGCTGAGAGACTTGCTAGATCGAATGCACAATACCCTACAAATGGTATCTCTTTAAGGGATTCGAACGAGATAGTTCGAAAATCTAACACCCCTATAGTAGTGGACTACAGAAGTTCAAATGCACTCGATCAATCTATTGCTCGAATGGATAGAATGGATGCAACACAGCCTCGACCTGCTGCACAACAAGGGATGTATAATTCACCATCGGCTGCTGTGCCCAGTTCCCAATCATATCAACCAAGTGGCCAGGGTTACTCGGCGGGTTACAGCCAGCCCACAAGTTACCAGAATGATGGCTACACCCAGCCATCATCACAACCGTATGCTCCTTCCACCCAAGGATACCCACATGACTCCAGGACTTATATCCATGGATCCAATTATTCTGTTGCTGAACCACCCGCTGGCCGCGGCGGATCTGTTCCTCAGTCAACTCCTAGGACTCAATATCCACCTAGTACATCCTACCAAGCACCTACAACGCAGTACTACTCCCAATCTGGACCACCTGCATCAACACCAGCATATGCCGCCCATGCACCAACAGATCCCTACTATAGTAGTCGTGGTGCGTACGCCCAAGTGCATCCATTTTCTTAATTGTTTTTATTCTCGCAACGAACGTAATCTAACAATTTAGCTGCTCCATCAGGCAATTATGAGTCCACTCCGGAGATATACGACAGCAGAGCGTACCCGGAAAGTTCAGATTACCAGATGCAAGATGCCGGATATACTGAACCAGGCTCATCATACCAGGAACCTGTATCATACTCTCAGCCAATGCCATCTGGACGAAGTGGCACCGCCACTTCTTCGTCTCAAAGACCGCGTGACCGGGACAGTAGGGATGACCGTGACAGACATCACCAGCGCCGCAGGAATTGATCTTCTCTCTGGGACGTAATTGATTTGTGCGATACTGTTTCCTCGGACTCTTATCATGTCCTGGCGTTTTTTTTCATTGCTTTATTCCCTGGATTTACTGGAACACTGGACCAATCAAAGGAAGCTCCCATATTATGGATCCAGACGAGACAAAGGGTACTTTACGACTTCATCGGAATCTTAATAAAAAGCCGAGAATGCAATAGGTATTGCATCTTGGATATCGAGGTATGGTCTTTATGTTACCAGGATTTTCTATCATACCCATCGCTAGACTACCACGAACTGGACCGAATACGGAATGTATTATCGGAGAATTGCCGCGGATGTTTATCATGAACTTTGCATGTGCAGAGCATTTATCCCCGGCTTTATGAGCTTCGAAAGACCAATTGAGGATAACGGATGTGTTTTTGCCTTCTTGCATTTTTCATCTGTCAGTTGCATCAGTTTTTGCACACGCACAGGCCGTTGGGGCGCATCATGAGTTTATGTTTTCTTGAAAGTTTCTGGATTATTTTAGGATACCATCCCTCATACTTGCTGCCTTGGACCCAAATTTCCGGAAGCCCCGCCGGCTGGTATTTCCTCCATACCACGTTTCGTGATTTGGTTAGTATCTTAATACTCGTCAGAGCATTCAGGTCTGGGTTCAGGCAGCATTGTAGAGGAGTTTGTATATACATCGACAGCAGCCATTCAAAGGATAATTTCAGCACTTCAAAATAATGCCCATCTACTTCATTTTATGGATTCCTTTGTGGTCAAGACCCGACCATGGATTTTCATCACTGACTTTCAAGCATGGCTTCACAGCACAGGTATAGTGAAACCATCCGGTTTTGGGACCTCTTTCTGGATTGGCCTTCTTTTCATTTGGACCTGGATTGCTACCCTTTCGGACTACCGTCTCTTGGATTTCAAAAGTTCAAACCTTTGGACGTGCTATCTCTCGATATTCCCTCCATTGCGTTCGTGTTCGATTCAGGTGTGTATCATGGACGAATCGGCTCAAATTCAGTCTCTCTTCGTCGCCTTGTCCATATGAATTCCATCGAGTTCCGGAGCATCGGAACATCTGACCTTTCCATGGATTACAGAAGGTTGTTGGGCGCCGCCTGACACAGTCCCGAGTAATGAGAAGTGTGGTCCAAACAGACACCAAAACATCCAAGCAACAATATGAAAGAGGCCCCGTGAATCGACCCATTGCAAGCATATTCCTGGCTTGGACTCGGCATCCCAACTTGAGATCCATCGCTCCCTCCAAGCGGGCCTTGAAGAAAGACACATAAATCATTCAAATTGGCCACTGAACCTCCCGAGGACTATCTGCACCTTGCAGTATTGTGTCATATCTCGCCTCATCTCAGCACTATCAACAGTTTCTTGCATGGTTTCAAATCCAGGATAGCATTCTTGATCATCATTCGGCCCTCATAAAACATATCCACATTGGACGTCCAATACCGTGGTCATTTACCAGCAGCTGTTAGCCATTCTCCTGAAGACGAATCGGCTAGCCACGAGGCATAACGGCCGGCTTGCACAAAGGGAAATCTTCTAACCTGTCCTCTTCATTGACTTCCGACAGCAGTAGGAAATTGCATGTCAAAATTGGGAACCTCAAGAAAGGTGGTTTGGCTTCAGCGCGTGTCATTTCAATAATTTAGGGTGGCAATAGTCTGTTATTTCTTTCTCTTAATACTCTGCTCGCATGTTTGCGGGCCTGAGTTGTACGATTGGGATCGGTTTCATTCCAGTTCTGTGGAGGTTTGAAGGACTTCATATTCGTTTCCGGTTGGGTTGTGAGGAAACCTAGTACGCATGGCGGTTCGGTTGGTCAGTCGATCGGTGGCATGGTGTGGCCATTGGCACATATTATCATTTACATCATCTCGCAAAACGGCATAGGTGGCATAAATTTAGATGCTATTACGCCATCGCTACTCATGGCCTTTTAATAACTAGTTTTCGTTTCATGTTACATTTGGATTTCTATTAGCTATAGTGTTCTGATGGTAGACCATTTGACGGTGTGTAATGAGATGAATAACGGTTGAAACTGCAGCTCTATGCAACACTCAGGGAAATAATGATAAAAAAACATTTTAGAAGACTAGATTCTAACGTTGTAACTCTTGCTAGTCTTAATCAATTGACGTTTATGACTGTTGTTTGCCTAGACAATGTAGAACTCGTGAAATAGTGAATTGACAGGCAAATTTCATGCCTGACGGCAGCAATAAAGGGGCACGTCTGTGATTGTAGGTAGGCGTTTGAAATATTGATAGGTCTAAGATGTTACCTTGTCTATTTAAAAAAAAAAACATCTATGGAAATCAAGATGACATCTGTCTTTCAAGGTTGTTGAACCAACAGTCTTGAGAAATTGAACGTTCTGGATTTGTTTAATGCTATCTTTGCGATATGTATGGGAAAGCCCAAAAGTTGATATTTGGGGTAAGTTATTGTACCGAGGCTTACCTAGATTGTCTCAGTGCATTCATTCATGGCCTTAAAAGAGTATATCATCAACTTAAACAATTACATACATGCATGCATGCGTTATCATACTTATAATAATTCGTGATGCTACTACTTTCCTTGTGTTTAATTCCACTGATTTGCACTTCTATTCTGGTATCAGGATGGACTAATTATTGGGCTGAAGGTTTCCAGGTGCCATTCCTACCGTCAGTTCAAGCTCCTCTACGACAATGGACCTCACCACCCAAAAGCTCTGCAGGCGATGTAGCTGTTACTCAGAGTCGAACCCTCACTCTGCGAAGCGTGTATCATCGCGGAACGAAAGAATATCCTGAGTTACATCGACGGCTCAGAATCAATCCTGAGAAGATAAAGAAAGCGGCCCTCGAAGTTAGCGATGGCGAATCTGAAGTTGGGCCTTTTACCCTTCACACAGCTCCAATAGGCATCCACCGGCTTCGAAAGCGAAGTGTACAAGATATAGAAGCTTTCAATCAATGGCCTGCCGATTTACCTGCATCGGCGTGGTCTGTTGATGATGTATCGGCGCCAAATGTGACAGACAAATCCACGGTGGTCAATTTTGCGGTCATGGCAGCAAACACATATCAGCGAACTCCAGATGACCCTCAGTGGGAAGACGTAAAACCTCCCTTCAACCTTTCATCTTCCATTGGATGGGAATCGGATGGTCTGCGGGGCCATGTTTATGCCGACGACACAAATACTACAATCGTTATCGCGTTGAAGGGTACAACTTCAGCTGTATTCGATGGAGCGGAAACAACTACAAATGACAAGGAGAACGATAATCTGTTTGCGGGATGTTGCTGTGGACAAGGTGGATGGGGGCTACGAAAAGTGTGTGATTGTATGACGGCAACATACACATGCAACGAAATGTGTGTTTCTAAAGCATTAAAGAAACCGAATCGTTATTATCAAGCTGCCGTGGAACTTTATGGAAATATTACAGAGGAATACCCCAATGCCGATGTTTGGTTGACCGGTCATTCTCTTGGAGGACTCGTCACTACTCTTGTTGCATTAACTTTTGGCCACCCTGTACTGACCTTTGAGTCGGTTCCTCAAGAATTAGCAATCTCTCGATTGGCTCTTCCTACCCCACCAGGATATAATTCGGCCTCTGAAGCTCGTGATAATGTAGGTATCTGGAATTTCGGACACACCGCTGATCCAGTATATATGGGTACGTGTAATGGGGCTACATCACTTTGTGCTTTTGCTGGTTATGCCCTCGAGTCGACATGTCATGCAGGATTACGATGTGTATACGATGTTGTTACAGATTTGGGCTGGAGTGTATCTCTATCGACTCATGGGATCAGAGCCTCCATCAGAAATGTATACAAGAAGTATGATGAACCCCCAGCGTGTGTTGCCGAGACCGATTGTGTTGATTGCTTCAATTGGAAACGAGAAAAAGGCCCTCACTCTACTTCATCAAGTACTATTGCAAGTACAACGTCGAAACCAAGGACTCGTACCGAAACTTGCAAAACTCCTGGCTGGTGGGGTTGCTTAGATGAAGGTAGTGCGAGTACAACGTTTACGTCAACGACAACGATAACATCGACATCTTGTAAGAGTTATGGGTGGTTTGGTCGATGTGTAGATCCAACTGCTACCACATTCACCTCTAAAACCACAATTATCGAGGCCTCGGCGGCTATTCAAGAGGTTACTGCCACTGTCACGAGTAGCGAGGACCTCGCTAGAGGATCCATGACTCAACCAGTCCAAACACATCAAATCACTGCCTCTCCAAAAGCTCCCACTTAAGAAAAATCAAGCATACTTGACGGTGACATGAACTTGTGATTGGATAACGGATTTTGTCATAAGATTGTCTTGTTATAATTAGAGAATATAAGATCTCCTCGCTGATATCTTCGGATAATGTTTATAAGAAATGAAGTTTGAGCAAGCAACATTGCGACGTCTAGACTTTGATTCGGATATAGGTTCTAAAACGCCAATACTGGGTATCTAAGCATACTACCACCTCATCAACTTCAATCCTTACTACCAAGCTCCTCATGCAAGCATCACGGCTCATTACTAATCAAACGTTAGCCCGCTTTAGGATTCCCTCGGACGTCGTTTGGAAAAGATTGATTCAAAAGTTCGTTTCATCCATTCAATCTTTGATCTGTTGAAGGACAGAAGAAGAAGTGACTGAAGAACTCTTACAGCAGCATATATCCAAAGCACATGTATAGAAGGATACTATTGCAGTTGTAACATTATTTAGGTAGAATGAATCATATTACTCGTAATACTATTGTGTACCATTTATACTATGCGCCGTTCATTTCTTATAGTCGCGAAAGATCGGTCAAGATCTCATTGGCTTTCGCGTCGCTTCCTGATAGATAAAAGGGGCATTTTAAGTGAGTTCTAGGCAATTGACAATGGATGATTGTTTGGAGCAGGGAGTGAAATAGTATTCAAGGAAATTGTAGTAGGTGGTAAGTGTAGAAGTATTTGGCAAAGGAAGATTGATACTGATATTGGAAGGAGCGCTGTAACCTGTTTGGGAGAGAAATGACGGTTTAAAAATGATAGCGAGCCAGCAATATGAGATGGAGATGAGAATAAGTACGAGATGAGAATGAAGGAGATACTGTGATTATATGAACTTTTTCGTTATAGATGGAGGGGTTTTTATTGGTTTTTCTTGGTTTTAAGGGGGGGGGGGGGGGGGGGGGGGTTATGTGATTAATATCTCAACTTCTCGAGTCGGAATGGGAATTCGAGATTGTAGTACCAACTCGGTTTTCTCTCGACAAGGTGGGATTTGATATCTCGAATGGTTGGTGGAGAATTGGTGATTGGTAATTGAATTCAAGGGAAGACGGATAGAGATGGAGTTAAGCCCAGGATTGTGGAGAATAGAATCTTGGACGCAACTTCGCATTTCTCTTTTTTGTTTGAAGTGATTGAATGGTTGAAGTGGCATTGGGTCTAGCGGTAGGATTTCTTCGAGATCTGTAGTCACAATTCTCCTTTTGCATGTGTGAACACGGTAATGTATGTGCACAGTATATGTATTATCTTCTCATGGTATGTATAGAGCACTATTGTCGAATCTTATATTGATCAAAACTTATGATCTCCATGGGTAATGAGAAATGAGGAATGTGATTGGATGGTAGAAGAAGGCAGTGTCAAGTCCTTGTTCATCTTTCACGAGTTGCGTATTTTTACATTGTGGTCTTTTTCGGGTTGGATGACGGATGGGGTAGATTGTTGAGTGGGGATGGCTTGTTTGTTGGAGCTTTATATTGTAGGATTTTTTAAAGCGCGGGGAGAGGGAGTGGAAAGTTGGTTTTGAGTAGGGGAGTCCCCGGATTGAGGATGGGGTTCTGACGTTGAGATCTTCCTCGATGTGTGCGATGAGAAGAACGGGTATGACTTCACCTGGTGAAATGAGACGCGTGCTTTTGTCTTCTGGGGAATTGGACGATAGTGTAGTGATGCTTGGCCGTGTATGTTTCTCTATCTTGCTGTGAAGTTTGGACTGGGAGGACTCGATCACTATTTACTACATACCTGGGTAGTTATTGCTTTTCGATTATGCAGTACATGTTCATTCATGAAGATCTACTTTCCCATTCTCCCCTTTGTGAATCTACCACTGCAATGCTAGATTTTTTATATAGCACAAAACTTATTCTTGAATTTTGTCTGTCTAATTCGCTTGCGGGTCTGATATTGAAATTGCAAGCTACATTTCCTAATCTTGTGGAATCTTTCGGCGGGGGAGTGGATTATCTTTGAACATGCATAGGTGTTAGATTGTGCTGGGTTGATGAAACTTACGATGATATAGCTTGAGGTTTGATGTTTGAGGTTTCTCTTCCGTGTGGCGGGATGGAAATCTTGAGGGTATGTGAGATTGTATTGTTGTAAACGACATCGACGAAGAAGGGAAGTTTCTAGTGAAAGTGCAAATGTTAGCCTTCAGATCGAATAACCTCACTCTGCTATTCTCACTCTTCTCAATAAGTATCGTGCATAGTAATGCTAAATTGAATTTCAGTAAAATGATAGAATCATTCAAAACTGCAGGATATTCTCGCACTTACCCGACCGAGACACTCGCTCGAGAAGAGGATCTCTAATCCACGTCTGTTACCCCAGATCGTCAGTGTATTTTTTGCTTCCTATCTATGTCTTTTTCCCCAGAGGATTTTAGCCTTATAAATATATACATACATACTTGAATTGTATACTTGAGATCAAGAGCCACAGTTATCTAGTACGATTATATCCTCACGACCACCATATATTCGGTCAATTTCTTATCATAGATTCGAATCAGATGGACAAAATAACAATGAAGAAGAGATGACAGAATGAATTACATTGGTAGACCGAATATTGACCAGTATAGATTTGGATGCTTTCAAAATCAGCCAGTCTTTGGAAGAGAGGGGTTGCAATCAAAGACTCTTACATACGTAGGGTGAGATAGGAAGGAGTACTCATGCAAAACCACGACTCTAATTTCGTTTTCCGAATTCAGATATCTGTCTAATCTATCGATTAACCTCTGTCTTACTATTCACCTGCATTCCCAATAATCCACTCCGCCCTCTCCTTCAACTTGAACTTCTGAATCTTCCCGCTAGCCGTCTTCGGATACTCATCCATCCAAAAGATATATTTAGGAACCAAGTGGCCACTCAAATGTGTCCTCACATGGCGTCGAATTGCTTCTTTAGTAAGTGTTGGGTTTAGTCTCTTCTCTCCCTCTGTGATTTTAGCTCCGGCTTCTGCATTAGAGCCTTCAGTATGGTTGCTGGTACGAATTCCCATCTTCACAAGCTTGTCATAAGCTTCCCAGCTCATGATATCGTTCACCGCTCCCGCATCATCCGGCCCTCGACTCACACCCTGTCTAGGTACAATCCACGCACAAACTACCTCTCCATATTTGTGATCGGAAACTCCAACCACGCTAACCTCCCTCACATCTTCCATACCAAAGATACAATCTTCGATTTCAAGTGGATGGATGTTTTCTCCTCCCCGTATAATCAAATCTTTGATTCTCCCTGTAATCTTGACATATCCTTCCTCATCCATACTCGCTTCATCGCCCGTCTTCATCCAAACCTTCCCATCATTATCAGTGATCAAGACTTCTGCTGTGCGATCTGGGTCTGTATAATATTCTTTCATGACCAAATATCCCGAGACGGCCAATTCACCACGTTGACCTATTTGGAGAACTTTATTGGAATCAGAGGGTGAGATGATTTTGGTAGATACATGAGGTAATTGCTTCCCCACACTATTGACTCGCTTTTCCATTGGATCAGTAGGAGTCGTCATACAAGACACTGGGCTCGTTTCCGTCATCCCATAGCAAATCGTCAAACCGGTAAGATTTAATTGTTTATGAAGCTTTTCCATCAAGGATTTAGGAACGGAAGAACCAGCTGCGATACCTGTGCGTAAATGTTCAAAGCCAGTATGAGGAATAGTACCAGTAGAAAGAAGTTCGAGTTCGGCGAGAAACATAGTGGCAACTCCATAAAGGGCAGTGGCTTTGTTTTCTTGAATGCTCAGAAGAGTTGCCGAAGGGTTGAAAGCGGGAGAAGGAAACAGAATTGTGCTGCCATGAGTAGCGGTTGCCATATATCCGAGGATAGAACCGAAGCAGTGAAATAAAGGGGGTGGACAACAGACTATATCTGATGGTGTGAGAGCCATACGAGAGCCGATAAAATAGCCATTGTTGAGAATTGAATGATGTGTCAAGCAAGCTGCTTTAGGCGTCGAAGTTGTACCTGATGTGAATTGAATATTGATTACATCATCTTTATGCAATTCCTGATTTGGAATGACTTTTCTCTCTTTATCTGATCCATATATCGATATCATCGTTTGAAAATTAATTGTAGCTGGAAAATCCGCAAGTTCATCATTCGGATCTTTCACTAGAACAACGTTTTTTAAACTTGGAACAGCTTCACTCTTCCATTCATTTACGAGTTGCCTGAGATCCCCAATGATATCTTTCAGTAAAGGTGTATTGTCCCTAGGGGGCTTGAACGGTAAATGTGTTTCATGGCCAATTATCAGGTGTGAAGCTGCCAAGTGGTTTAAGGCCGACACCACTTGTTTCGTATTGAATGCTGGGTTCAACGGTACCTATTTCAATAACAATTAACATCTCCCCTATCTTTCAAAGTCATCTCTACCTCTCCGAAGATTCACTTCCATCATCCTCAACTTACCAATACAGCACCCAATTTCCAAATTGCATAAGTGATTGCTCCAAACTCCCATCCGTTCCCTAGACTAACAGCTACCCTATCTCCCTTCTGCACCCCCAGATTCCTCAACCCATATGCTATAACGTTACTTTTCTCATCCAACTCTCGATAGGTAAGTTTTATATTTTGGGAGCGAGATATGAGTGCAAGGTTGTCGCCATGAACGTTGACAATGCTGCGGAAATGCTGGGGAATCGTATGCTGGAGAAGTGGCGGCTGATAGGAAATGAATCGTTAACTTGGTGGTTATAAGAAATTGAAGATAGATGAATGGGGTGCGAGGGTATCGAGGATAGGGAAAGGAGAGGGAAGCAATAAACCCAGTTACCTCGTTAGGTCCAGCACTATAACTCTCTGTCAAAAGACCTCTCCTTTGAAAGCGCATTCCAAACGCAATCTCAACTTTGATTCTCATTGCACTCCCAACTCTCACTCCACCTCCCAAACTTCTCGCCATCTCACTCCTCAACTTAATCCCCAAACTATCTCCACATCTCCATCCCCGCATTCCAGCTCTGGCTTCCGTTCCCGTTTTCGCTCCCGCAATACAAAATCTAGAAGCCATTTCATCTATTAGAATAAAGAAAATCACTTACTCCGAAATGAAAACCAAAGCTTTTCAGCCCATGGCATACATGTAACAAACCAATATGTATGTGGACATTGTGAAATGTCGTCCCACTAAAGGACAAAAGTACAACAAGTACTACAGCTCTCGGTCCAAAAAGGCGGGGTATGCTCCGCGCTACTTTTCCGCTCTCTCGATCGATGTTAGACCCATAATTCATCTATGTAGTATTTCTATTGCTGGAAAAGTTACCCCTGAGTCTTGGCTACATATTAGATCTGAGATTTATGTCATATTTAATATATCCCAGAAGAAAAAAAGTGCACCAAAAAAGTTATATCGGAAAGACAGTGTGGCATGTTGTGATGATTGCTTGGTCCTCGACTTATTGATTCCTTTTCCCTATTCACAATACCAATAGTACAACTATATATACAACTCCACCGCCGTAGACTCTTCACCAATCTCCGACTCCTCCTTTGGGAGTACTCATAAAGATATTTTATCCGTATCCCAAGCAGATCGCAGCATCGCTTCAGCAATTCCACCATCTATTCCACCTCCCAAGGAAATCCAGAAGTACAAAAATCCAAGAATACACAAATCTCAACACTTGAAAATCCATGTCTTCTGCTTTTGACATTGCAGCCAAACATAGGAAATTCGGGACCTGCCTCCACATACATACACCTCCCTTCCCCTCAATCCTTCTTCAACCATCCAAACAAGAATGAAACTTTATCCCAATATCCCAAATCTCAAATCAAACTCCATGCTAATAGAATAAAAGCAAACGCAGAGGTATTTTTTGTAAGGACAACCATTCTATGTTTTCCCATCAAACGAAAAATATAAAAATAAAAAGCCTCCCATTGTGCTCGTCAGTGTGCCACTCATGCATTTGATGCTCGCTCGAAATCGACTAGTGCTATGTGCTCATATAACTTTTGTAAGGAAAAGTATCTGACATCGGGAAGCGAATATTTATTTAGTTTTCTCCAACATGTCGTTCGTTCTCAGGTTTCCAAGACCCTAAATAATCAGATTAGTTGATGTGCTTATCATCGAGAGATCTACTAGACAAACCTTCAAAGTCATGCTTCACAAAAGCCATAGGATCATCATAATCGTTTGCATTCATTTGTCCAACTCCAGGACTGAAGCTCGTGATAGGCAAAACAACCACATCACCAACCTTCTTTGCTGATACAATGCCTGTGAAATCTCTCCATGTGATGTTTCCCTTGCTTGTCGTCATATCAAAATATTTTTCATCGTTCAAAAAGTCGAAAATAGTATCTGTCCACAAAGCTGGACCGGTGAATGTTACAACATTCTTATCATCAAATTTCTTGAGAGTTCCACGTTTCTTCATGTCCAAAGTTTGTTGAGTAATATTGGCAACGATTTCGCGGAGCACAGGATGTCCAGGTTTTGCTTGAATTGTCCATTGGCAAAACTGAATTCTTCTAGAGTACCATTCTTGCCAATCGGGACGATCTGGATCTGCCTCAATGCCAACTACCAATCCAATAGCTTCGCGTGGCACACTCTCAGGGAGCCATTCCGGGGCAGGTTTCAATGCGTGGGTATCAATATCTGAGTAAATTCCGCCTCTGGCCAGCAGAATTAGGTAACGGAAGAAATCGGCCTTCAAGACAGGCATAGGTAAGGAATTGTAAGCCTCTAAAACTTCTGGCACAGAAGCATATAGATGCTTTAACAAATGAACTGCGACTTCGTCTGTGATGACTTCATGTACGAATCCTGGGTGCTTTTCTGACCAACTTGCTTCCGCAGGACGAAAAGCTTCCCCAAACTCTCCAGATGCTGGTGTGTATTTCCATGTCTGCCAAATGTATGCCGGAAACTTCGTCTCTACGTCGTACGGAAATTGATATGCGAGCTTTTCTCTCAAAGGTGCTCTTGACAAATCTTGTAATAGTGTTTGGGAAGCTTGAGTATTCTTTTTTGGTGTGGATGGAACCGCATCCGTCGAGGCTGATGAGCCTGGCTTTGTTTGTACATCCGCTTCATCTTTCTCTCCTGCTTTTGGTATACTCGAATCTTGTAATAACATATCGTTTGATGCAGGTTGATTGTGCGTTCGCGTTACCAGAAATACCATGGTAAGGAAGAAAGCCGCAGCTATTAAAGCTCTCCTGAAGGTCAACATCTTTGCGCAAATTGCAGAATTTGTATCTGCCGAGGAAATTGATACACAGTATCTCGACTATCCGAACGAATTCGTCCCTTATCCCGAGAATTGTCTTTTACCGTATGGTGAAATGTTCTCGTCAAGAGGTTCTGGTCACTGAATAGGCCGGACTCCGGGAGATTTTTGGGTCGTCAATTCAATGCCAAGATGGTAACGCACATAGGCGTGTTTGATAATGGATTGCGGAACCAACAGATAGCTAGCGTTTGATATGAGACTAGAAGTGCTTGAAAAGAAAAGGATGAGCCTCGATTCGATAATCAACCTGGAGTAAGGTAGAAAAGGTATTTAAAATGTGAGAAGAAAGGACAGACTTTGAGTGGATTGTATGTAAAGGAGTCAGAGAATGAATGGGTCAAAGATGGGCTCGAGGGGGGATTGAAAAGTAGATATACATTTCTCGTACCAAGTTTCGAAGGTTACCTAGGTAAATGGCAAATAATTATTCAAAATGAATGAATAGGTATGAAGGGTATAGACGATAGAGGTATGCTTTGCACTGTCATTGATCGACCTCTTCTTATTGTTGATCCTTTTCGTAATAAAATGAATCCCGAGTAAACCTTTTTTTTTATTCTCGGTCTCTTCTTCTTCCTTGCTCGTTTAACCAAAAGTGCTGGAAGTGAGTAGTTGGGTGAGAATGTTTTATAATCCTCTCTCTCTCTCTCTCTCTCTTTTTTGGTCTTTTCGTCGTCTCTTTACTTATTTATCTAATTCGTCAATCGGACTGGACTGGACTGGACTGGATTGGATAGGATTGGATTGGGTGATTCTTTCCAGAAAGGCAAGCTTATCATTACAACCAACCATGGCGATATATCAGGCCTGTGGTACGGGTATTACTGTATGCGTCGTGAGGACTTTGACACTAGAACGGTAGGAATGAGCCGAGTTTAGTGACGAATCATCCCTGTAGACAATCGTTCTGAAGTCAAGGAAGTGCTGGAAAGTGCTGGGGAGCGAAGAAAATAGAGTAGGAAATAGTAGAAGAATATGGAGAAGTAGAAAGAATCCAAAGCCGAAACCAACAATAGAGCAAGAGAGAAGCGTTATTAGTAAGGACCTTGGGAATCTTAGAATTTATTATTGTATTAATGTATCGTATCGTATTGTTCTCGGTAAGCCATTACTACTATGTACTTACTGACTGTATTATTAGCAGGCGAGGAGAGTTCAGGAATGAGGTAAAGTAATGAGGTCAAGGCAGGCAGGCCAAGTCAACAAACTATGAGATGCAGAGGATCGGTTCCTGTATCTCGATACGGAGGAGCTTGCTTACATTGATGATGACTATGAATATGACTATGGCGACTTCGTATAACCATGATACTATCAGATCATTGAACCTATGATCTATCTAGGTATCTACCATCTACCTATCCAAGTTAGCAACACAAATGGCACAGAGACCGGTAGCCTACCTACCGACTCAATCAAGAGTCAAGACGGACTTTGTTTCAGCTTTTCCTGCCCTTTGCATCCAGTCACAAACGGAGGAAATCCCTCCAATTATTACCACCAATGCAATGCAAGAGAGATGGTTCTATCACGGGCAGATCTTACTAGCTGGGCAGGTATAGACATCCATCCCTCTCCACCAAGGAAACGCCGCATCTCCAACCAATATTCAGACCACGTTTTCTCCGCGCCTTCACTCGAACTCTCCTCTCCTTCCTATCAAAGTCTATGTGGCCCCCACTCCGCAAAGTTTCGTACTGGAATCTGAATACTTACAATGTGCGTCGACATGCAGAACCAACATACGCATAAACTTGGAAAGCCGCGTAACCATTCGGAGGATCTAACCCGTAAGTCAGGAAGGCAAGAAGATACATGAAACTTATAAATTATATTAATACATGTGCTCTTGTTCATCCATCAAGCCCCGAGCCAAGTAACAATCATTATTATCCTTTATCCCTCATTATCAAACGTGGTATTGTGCCGTTGATATACCGACATGCATCAGACTTCTTCCGAGTCTTTCACAGGGGGGTGATTCAGGGGTACCAGGCCAATCGGACTCAACTTGGAGATAGAAAACGTTGATCACCTTGATGACTCCATCGTATCTCCCCAAATTGCACATCGTAATATATCTTTTCTACTCTAAAGGGGAATGTGTAATCTGAACACGCACTCCACCTTGAAACAAACTTATATCAAAGCTTAATTCTCCAAGACTCGAGGGGTCTGACAAACTCGGGAGTCTGTGGAAGACGGATGAGTTGCGGGTGAGTTATGGGATAAAACTTCGGATATGCAAACACAGACATTCCATCCAATCTTTGCTTCGTCAATGTCCACATAATGCCAAAGGGTTTGTGATACACAGAAGATGATGCACTGACCTTCTTCGTGTATATTACTTACTTTAGCTACCGTACCTTTCTATGCGTTCGCATGTGTGACCCCTCGTTCAATATACGTAAATATGCTTTGCGTCTCGCCATCTCAACAAAACAACATCTCACCAATTGCTGGGCTCACATCTTCATCTCCGCACTCAACCCTCACCATCCTCTCCTCTATCTCCATACCACATGCTTACCATCCCATCCCATTTGATCCCTTCCCAACCCGGCTTTACACCCGAGAAATATCATTCATACGACAACCCCTCAATGTGATACCGGTCCCTACAGAGATATCGTCGATCCATCACGAGCAAGTTGACAGACCCACTAACCTCAAACATCACATCTGAAACGGCAATCAAGGCCATCTCCTCAAGCCACCTCACCGATTCCTAGGGCTCGGAGAATATCCAGTTGATCCCGATAATCTATTTTCAGCCTTTAGTACTACACGCCATCTTCCTTGGCATTGGACGGGTCGTATCATGGAAAATAATCCGTTTTTGGGATGAAGATACGCAACTTGGATGTTGATGCATTCATTGGTAGCGTTCGCCAATTTCGCTGTCAGAGCCATGTAAGCCAGTAGAACAATATCAAAACTGCAATTTTCTATTCGAGGCAAAGGAGGCTCATCAGCTTTCTCACTCTCGCTGCAGCCTGACTCGGGTTCCCGCTTCGTATCCTTCAATTTCAGCTTGTCATGTATTAAGCGATCCATACTCTCACTGTGCTTTCACGCACCCCTATTTCCCCCACGCGCAGACTATCATGGCGAGGTTACCCGTTCTATCTTATTCATGTGAGTCCATGGCGTTTGAATCTTAAGTAAGACTGCGCGTCTTGAACATGATAGGGGAAATAGTAAGACTGCGCGCCTTCAACATGACGGGAGAGATAGTAAGAATGGTCGAAAGTGACAATGTTCCACGAAGACTCTCCTTGAATAGCATTAGATCAAGCTTAAGAAGATCTATAAACAGCAATGATAGTCTATGTCTTAGAAAATCACATGCGATGAGAAGCTTTTGTCATTTTCAAAAATTGCCTGGTTAATGGATCATGTTAGTTCATGCAACTCATTTCACTAAATCGCTACCGGAACCCATTTTGAAGGCTGTGAAGTCAAGTATAATCTTTCAGCACACGCGGGCCGAATCAAGTATAGTTTCTGGCTCATCTCATTCCAAGTCTTCAGCAAACGTACACTTTTTCGATTTGATCTATGATAACATCACTTGTTAGCAGGAAGAACGAGAGAAACCTATACATGCATGCACCTTACACTAAATCAAAGGTAGGTCTCGGCCATATATCTATCTACATATATATGAACGACAAAATATAAGTTTCTATACCAAAGCATGGGGTTTCATAGCAGCGTGATGGTGAGGTTGTCCTATCAGGTGATACCATGGCAACTAGATGAAGGAAGGGAGATCTAGTAAACAGTAGCTTGTCGGGGAATGTGTATGAAGATGTTTGGATATCAAGCTGCAAGTACATGTTTACTCTTCTTGCCAAAACTATGGTGTAAATCCGTCATGGCATGCATGAATATATATTTTCGCATGTGGAATCAGCGAATGGGGAAGCAATGTGGTCAATATCAAGAACAGCAAACATCTTCGCATATATCCTTCACTTGAGACACTTCATCACCAAGCATACCCCATTGTGCTGTTCTTTACTCCAGACTCACTTCTCCTTATGCCTACAACCAGAGCGCTTTGAGTTACACCACGAACAACACCAGTCAACAAAGCAAAGCACACCAAACCCATCAAAATCTAAATTCCCAAACCCAAACTCCCAATCCCACTCATTACTCCCCCTAAAAATCCACAATCCCAGAATCAACAACACCCATCTTCAATACACAGATCCGGGTCCTCTAACCTCCTATTTGCGCATTCTTTACAGACATATACGAGTTTGATATACATAATCAAATGTCTAATTCGGTTCCAGCGAAGAACTCCAAATACTAACCAGATTCCCTTTCTTTTCTCTATCTAATATCACGAGCCTCGAGGTATGAGAGGGACGGATTGCGCGAGAGGGATGTGATACTGTATTAAGTGATATGATGTGATATGTAAGGTATGATATGTAAGTTATGATCTTCCCCACGAGCCCACGAGCCTACGAAATTGGTGGAGGATACAAGTAAGTACGAGTACAAATACGAGTGCGAACCATAGCATGATGTCCATCTATATCATCTACAAACAACACAACGTGACAACAAGGCTCAAACCAACCTATCATTTCAACTAGCCCACCCAAAATCTCAGCAAACATACCACCACAGATTTTTCAAACATCCCTCGTAAGATGCACCAGCGAGCGCCGCTCCTGAATAAAAACACACAAAACATACATGCATCCCAAAGGTTACAGAGTAGGAACCTCGCATTGAACAGCTCTACGAAATCACCCGTTAGAGAGTAAACACACCTTCTCGAATCTCCAGGCGCTTTTACCCTCAATTTTTTCAATTTTTCCATTCCTAGCTCGACACATCTAGATGTATCTGTAAATCCATCCCCTAGGAATCTCAAGACAATAAATGAAATAAGTCTCAAGCTCACGTGCGTGCATGTGCTCGTTAGATTAGATGTGAGTGAATATAAATTCTACAACTTCTAGTAGGGCATAGGCTAGGCTAGGCGGGCACTTAGCATGTATATCAAGTTTTTCCGCTTTCTGAAGATGAATAGTGGTGTTGAATTTAATCGGAGTACTATTTATTGCCAACGCGAGGACGATATCTTCGAATTCGGTCGGTCTCTTCGCGTGGAAATGGTGGATGAGATTTTCTCAACTCGATCATTTAATCTCATGTCTCAATCCCAAAAATTCCTCAAAGTTTCTTTTCTTTTCTTTTCTTTCTATTCTATTCTATTCCACCCACCATACACAATCCCAATCCACACCCAAAATACAACCCTTTCCCCCCCCCCCCCAATTTTTTGGTCCCCCCAACCAAACATAGCACAGTTTGAAAATAACAGCACACACACACACACACACACTCTCTCTCTCCATCTCTATCCCGTGTGACATGTGATATGAAAGTTAAACTTTGATGCATTGATGCATAAATGATAATTCACCCTGGATATCATGAGCCACCCACCACCTGCCCCTCCGAGTCATCCATAAAAGCAGTATGACAAGACAGGTGTCAAGTACCTATCTATCTCAAGTTTTCCAAAATTCACTAATGCGAAATTCAAGAGCAAGAGCAAGAACAAGAACAAGAGTCAGAATGGCGACATATTCCCTGGGTGCATACAACATATAGATAGCACTTTATCAAATCCACACATGTATCAGACAATAGTCGATATCAGACATCAAACATGACACAGGCAAACTAACATAGATTATGGAACGAATTTTGGAGGGTATCAATATTTATTTCAATTATATTTTCTTCTTCTCTTGATGTTCCCCCAGTTGCTAGAACGCACAATGTCCAGCAGGTGAAGTTGTGCGTCACACACACTAGAATAAACCAGTAAAGCAACGCACAAGCTGTATGCCGTATATCTGACCGAACCCATCCATTAAGTGAACTGTACGGTGAGGATACTCTAGCCCAATATATCAATCGAGCTACAATGCTCTAGATTTCCATCACCAATCCATCTCTTCAAACAAGCCTTCTGTTCCATGATAGGACGTTCCCAATACAAACTAACATTCCCCCTCAATACCATTGATCCCTTCTTGTACTAATCATAACCATCCACCGATCTAACATGGTCCCATAGATAAGAATATTATCTTGCCAATCAAGAATCCGTTCCTCGTGAGAAGAAAACGTCAAAATTTCCGACCAAAAAATACAATGTCCCCCTATTTAAGGGACTCCCAAAACACCCGTCTTAATGCATGCAAATAATGGTATAACAACTGCTTGCTAACAAATACG